ACCTTAAGAAGGTATTTTTTTATGCCAGGTGGAGGTGGCACATACCTTTAATCCCAACACGCGGGAGAGAGAGGCAGGCAGATCTCTGTGAGTTTGAGGCCAGAGTGAGTTTCAAGACAGCTAGGGCTTTTACACATAGAAACACTGTCTCAAAAAGGGGAAGGGGGGTTGGAGAGATGGCTCAGCGGTTAAGAGCACTTGGCTGTGATTCCAGAGGACCCAGGTTCAGTTCCCGACACCCACATGGTAGCTCACAACTGTCTGTAACTCCAGGATTTGAAGCCCTCACTCAGACACACATACAGGCAAAGAACAACAATGCACATAAAATAAAAATTTTTTTAAAAAGTATTTCTTCCCTTTGAGTCAAGGTCTCACTGCGTAGCCAGGCTGACTGGAAGCTTTTAATCTTCCTGCTGTACACTCAATACAAAGGTATATGACAGCTGTGGAAATATTATTTATCCTGCATTAGCCCCGTGAGTCTTGACATTAATTCTTTAGAGAGATAATCAGTCTGAGACTAATGAGATCTTGTGGAGCTTTGATTTTTACCTGTTTGTAGGTGTGCATGCAGGCTTCATCGTTCACAAGGGAGCAGTTAGGTGACTAATGCCCTGATTATTTGCTTTGTCTCTTCTGCTGACCTCATTTTGTGCTGGGTGGGATCTGGAGCATAAGAAATATGTGATCCTAGCTCTTTAGACCTTAGTCCAGCTGGAAAGAACTGTTTCCCAAAATATTGATATGGAACAAAAATAGCAGTTAACATTTAAAAAGCTCAGCACTCCAGGATTTAAATATTTGGAACAGCAAACTGAGAGGCATAAAACAGGAATCTTTAGGACATAGGCAGTCTGATAAGGAAGCTCTAAATAGAAAGAAAAGGTTAGGTCAGTTTGGTCAGGATTTACAGGAATATCGAAGGTTGTCTGGGTATTTAACCTAGTGGGAGCCATGGAAAGTTCCAGAGCAGAGAAGTATTGTTTCTTCTTTATGGTCACTTGTTTGCAGGATGTTTCTGGTTCCTTCTAGTGAAGGAGAAGGTCTAGTAAAGAAGTGAGCTTGGGGGTGAACTCAGAGACTTAGCAAGGTTAGTGGGCCCTGGAGACAGACAGGCTGCCTGGCTCTCACAAAGCTCAGTTCAATTCTCCACGTTTAAAATCCCAAGGTGAAGTATGTACTGTGCCCAAGGAAATAAAAGAACTGAGCCCTTGTGGAGAGAAGAAGGAAAGAGGGCAAAGGCCTTTGAAGTTTGGTAGGTGTTTGGTTTAATTGTGCCCTTCCTCCCTGGTAGAAGCTTTTATTTCTGTGATAGAGATCTGCTTCTGATTAGTTCCTTTCCTCCTTCCCTTTTTCCTTAGGCAGGGTCTCATGTAGCCTATGGTCTGCCTACTATATAGCCAAGGCTATCCTTGACTCCTGATCCTCTTTCCTTAGCCTCCCAAATAGTGCTTGGATCACAGACGTGTGCTGACTGGCTCATGAGTCATCTTTTATTGGCTTTATTTATTTGTTTGTTTGATTGGTTGGTTTTTTTTTTTTAAAGATTTATTTATTATGTATACAACATTCTGTCTGGATGCATGCCTGCAGGCCAGAAGAGGGAACCAGATCTCATTATAGATGATTGTGAGGCCATCATGTGGTTGCTGGGAATTGAACTCAGGACCTCCGGAAGAGCAGCCTGGACTCTTAACCACTGAGCCATCTCTCCAGCCCTGGTTGGTTTTTCGAGACAGGGTTTCTCCGTGTAGTCTTGGCTGTCCTGGAACTCACAGAGATTCACCTGTTTCTGCTTCCCAAGTGCTGGGATTAAAGACATAGAATATAACTCTATTTATTTATTTCTAATTATTTATTTGTTTGTTTGTTTTCAAGACAGGTTTTTTTTTTCTTTTTTAAATTTTTTTTTGTGCAGCACTGGCCATCTCTATCTGTAGACCAGGCTGGCTTTAAACTCACAGAAATCTGCCTGCCTTTGCCTCCTGAGTGCTGGGATTAAAGGAGGGCACCACCACCGCCTGGAGATTGGTTTTATTTTTTAAGATAGGGCCTCACTATGTAACCCAGCCTGGATTAGGATTTACCATCCTCCCGGGTCTGCCCCCTAGGAGCTGAGATTACAGATCTTGCTTCCAGTTTTCTTTCAGAGGCTGTGGAACAGTAGTCATTCATTACCCTGGCTGTGTATTGGAATCACCTAGGGAGCTTGTAGTAACTGTCAATGCTTGTGCGTGGTTCAGACGGTGAATCATTTTTTTTTGATACTTTTTTATTTATTTATTATGTATACAATATTCTGTCTGTGTGTATGTCTGCAGGCCAGAAGAGGGCACCAGACCTCATTACAGATGGTTGTGAGCCACCTTGTGGTTGCTGGGAATTGAACTCAGGACCTTTGGAAGAGCAGGCAGTGCTCTTAACCACTGAGCCATCTCTCCAGCCCCAGACGGTGAATCATTAACTCTCTCTGGGAGATAGGACCTAAGCAAACATAGAAATCTTTTCTTTCCTCTTAAGTTCTGTAGGTGATTCTGGATGATAAGACCTTCTGCTTTTGTGTCTGTAAAACATCTCTAGAGAGCTCTGTGTAACCTTCTATCCTTTAAGTGTCACGGTGGTTGAGAGCTGTGCAGAAATGAAGAGACATGTTTGTGAGGGTGGTTGAAGCTTTCCTTAAGCCTCGGCTTTCCTTTGTGTCAAGATGTTTTGTGTTTGTAGCCTCACTAAAGAAACTTGATGCGAGACAGATTAAAAATAGTTTTCCTAGAATCTCATCAAACTAAGGCAACTGAGTATCAGTCACAGTGTGGTAAAATCCAAAATATACCTCTGGAAGTGCTTGCTTGGAAAATGATCTGTGTTGAAAGCATTAATCAACGGTTTTGGAAATGGCTGCCCCTCACCCTTGCACCTTCAGGCCAGAGTCAATAGGTGTGCACCATTAGGGCAATCTAGTGAATTCTGTGCACTTGATTAGACCTCCATATTTTTTATTTGCGAGAGAAAGCATGTGTGTGGGGTATACATGTCCCATTATGTGTATAGAGGTTAGAGGAGCACCCACAGGAACTCTTTCTTCCATGTGGGTTATAGGTATACAAGTCATCAGCCTTAGTGGCGAGTGCCTGTATGTGCTGAGCTGCCTCACCAGCCCAAGTACCAGTATTTTATTTTATTTATTTTTATTTTTTATTTTTCGGTTTTTTGAGACAGGGTTTCTCTGTGGCTTTGGAGCCTGTCCTGGAACTAGCTCTGTAGACCAGGCTGGTCTAGAACTCCCAGAGATCCGCCTGCCTCTGCCTCCCGAGTGCTGGGATTAAAGGCATGCGCCACCATCGCCCGGCTAAGTACCAGTATTTTAAAGATGTGGAAGTAGGCCAGTCTTACAGCTTCTGCAGGTCAGTGGAAACTACCAACCACATTGGAAGGTTGAAGGTCCTGGGAGTGATCAAGATGAAGGTTCTGGTTCCCAGTCAGCTCCGCCAAATCCGTGCTGTCTTGGACAGTTCTCTGTATCTTGCTGAGTATGAATTTGTCCCTTAGAGTGGCTGCCCAGAAGTCTGAATGACTAATGTAGAAGTTTAGTGTAAGTTTCCCGTTAATTCTCTTTTCTTTCTTCATGTATGCTCCATATCATGTGGTCTTAGTACATGTCCAGTTTGAAAAACTTCAGCCCCAGACCACAATGACTTGCCAAAATGCGCACATGTTCCACCCTCCTTGCATGCCAAGGTTAAGTATGTGGTGTCAGGGGAAGCAGGAGGGAGGGACCTCTCTGGGGAAGTGGCTACAGATGGCTAGGTTAGTGGCAGCCTAGACTTCTTGGGCCTTGGTGATTCATTCTGTCCTATCTACACATAGGGTCTGTTCCACATCAGAGAGAGAAGGGTAACACAAGTCACTGGAGAATCTGGGGTACCATTGCAGCCTGAAGCTCAGGAGAAAACTGACTTCACAGTTTCCAAGGCTTTCAGGCAGTGGGAATCTTAGTGAAGCATTTCATTGTTGCAGTTCCGGAAATCTGAAAAAAATCGAATGTCTTTTTAGTCAAGGAGGAGTACCTTTGATCCACTTTAGTAGAATCAAAATGTTCTGAGAAAAATCACCTTTCTAGTTTTCCATTCTTTTCGGTATCTTTAACTATACAACATATGGTGTCTCCAAAGTACAGAACAGCCTACTTCTCTTTAGATCTTCATAGGTTTAGTTCTTTATCAAATACATCAAATTGATTTTATAGGTCTCTTTAAAACTTAAGTTTATTTTTAAAATAAAAAAATTAACCGATTTTTATGTGTGTGTTTATGAAAGCAGGCATGCCCCTGCCACAGCTCTCATGTGAAGGTCAGAGGACAGCTAGCTCTCAGGAGACAGTTTTCTCTCACCATCTTGTAGGATTCAGGGATGAAATGAAACTTTTTAAGTTTCATTAATTTGTTTTTTAAGATGGGGTCACACATAGTTTTGACTTGGTGCTTACTATGTTGACAAGGCTGGCCTTGAACTCAGAGGCCTACATTATTTTATGTGTATTTTTCAGCGTGTCTATATATGTATACCATGTGCATGCCTGGTGTACTTGGAAGTCAGAAGAGGGGATCATATATCCTGGAACTGGAGTTACAGATGCTTGTGAACTGCCCTGTGGGTTCTGGGAACAGAATCCATGTCTTAACAGATGAGCCATTGCTCCAACCCTTTCTTTGAAGTCATACATTTATCTGGTATCCAAAAATGAGTGTTTTATTGAAACAGAATCTCACCATGTAAAACAAGCTTGCCTCCAACTTGTCATTCTCCTGCTTTAATCTCCCTGGTTCTGGGAATACAGATGCTATCTTCCATGATCAGCAGCTCCCTGCTGCCCCTGTGCTAAGTATTGAACCCAGAGCCTTCTTCATGCTACTGAGTCTATGACCACCCAATCACATCCCCTGCCCCAATTTTTTTTTTTTTCTTTTTACAACTAAGGCTCTTTCTTTTATCCCTTTTAGGAATATATCATCAGGGTACAAAGGGGAATTTCCACAGAAAACAGCTGGCAGGTAAGTATTTTTGTCTATTAGAAAAAAGTGTTTAAATTTGTGGCCACTGGGTATCAGAAAATCTGGAAAAGTCAGAATATTTATATAGTAAAAATCATATTGCTTTTGGGTGTAAGCCTTTAGTTTTCTTTTTGTCTTTTAAAATTATGTATGTGTGTGTCTCTCTCAGTGTGGGTTTGTGCAAGTGAATTCCACGTCCACCGAGGCCAGAAAAGGAATTTGGATTCTGTGGGGCAGGAGTGACAGGCAGTTCCACATGATATGGTTGTTGGGGAACAAACTGGGCCCCTATAGGAGCAGTGTGAGCTCTTACCCCCTGAAGCATTTCTTCAGCATCATAAGTCTTTAACTTTAATACAGATGTACAAAGCCTTTGTTCCTGGTGGTTGGTTACCTGGAACAGTAGAAAGCAGTTCTCCAACTCAGCCCAGAAACATAACGTGAGTCACCAGGTAACAACAGTGTACAGTCAGGTCACTGTCCTTTATGGGCTAGTTTACTCTTGCACAGCTGGAGCTAACTCTTTCACTGTCCCTAAGGAGGGCTCGTCTTGAGGTCCCTGGCTCTGCTTTTCTCAGTGCTGGCCTTAAAGAGAAAAAGACAGTGGGGAAAACTAGGGGTCTTTCCCATCCCAGTTGGCTTGCAAAGGGTAGCTGAATTGTTCATGGGACTGTGGCCATCCTACCCCTTCTAATAGTATTGCCTGTGCTCTATGACCCAGCTCGAGCCTTGGCTCCACCTTAGGCAGTCTCTGACCACAGTGCTCCAAACAGTCTTTTCTTTGCCTAAAGTTTCAGACTGCTTTTATTTGGATATTTATCACATACATCTGTTTATGAATTACTCACCACTGATTTAAACACATTAATTTACTCCACTCTTAGAGCATTCCTCTGTAGCAGCATGATTTGCACTTTCCACTTCGGAGGTAAGTAACTGGTCTGAGGGCACACATTTTCAGTGTTGACGGAGCAGCGTTGTAATGTGCATTTCCCTGCAGTTAAGCACTGTGCTATCATTGGCTTCCTTTATCAGGGTTGACTTACGTGTAACATTATGTACATTTGACAAGAATCATCCTACCAGAATAGTCAAGCCCTGGTACAAGTTTTTCTAGCTCTTATTACCTTATATGGGGTACTTAACAAAAAATGGGCTCTTGGGCCCTACCTGAGTCCTACCGAATGAAGCTGTCTTATGGTGAGGTTCTAGGTGGTATCCAGGTAATTTATCTACATACATTATTTGAGAACCAGTGATAAAGACTGAAGTCAAACTACTCAAAAGCACAATGATTTCCTTACCAAGATGTCTTATTTATGGCTTCTAGTTGTAATAAAACACTTAAGACCTAAGGCAACTTGAGGAGGAAAGGACTTATTTCACCGTACAGCTTATAAGTCCATCACTGAGGGAAACCAGGACAGGAACTCAGGGCAGGAACATGGAGCAAGGACTGAAGCAGAGGCCATGGAGGAATGCTGCTTATTAGCTTGTTCCTTATGCCTTGCTCAGCCTGCTTTCATATAGTGCTCAGGACCCAGCCCATAGTGGCACACCCAGAGAAGGCTGGGTCCTCCCACATCAATCCTCAATCAATAAAATGTTCCACAGGCCAACATGTTGGGAACATTTTCTCAGTTGAGATCCCCTTTTTCCATATGACTTTAGTTGGTATCATACTGACATTAAAGTAGCCAACACACCAGCGCTAATGAGATTTGGCTGTGTTCTAAGCAGTAACAGAAGTATAACCAAGGAATGACACAGGACATAAAAACTGAACTTTTGCTGAGAAGTAAAACAGTTTTACCTACAGGAACAGACTTATCTCCAGGGGAGGTGGCATGTCTACCAGATGATGTTTTATTCCTGTCGAGGACAAACAACATCAAAGCTGTCTGTTTCCCTTTGTTTTCTAAATCATTAATCTACCTACCCCTCTACGTAATCGGTTAATATGAAAGATATTTGAAAGGCAATTTGACCTGAAAACATGACAAATTTTTTGCTGTTGTTTAAATCTCTTGTTGATGCCTTGTGAATTTGGCCAGCATTAACCAGTTTACTGCAGTCCAGGCCATCCCTGTGAGACTGCTATGTGCATTTTCTGGACTTATCAATCAAAGTGAACACTAAGCAGCACTGCTCCACTTGGCACAGATGCTCCAGCTCTGGAACACCAGAGAGTCCCAAGTCAGGAGGTGGAGAGGGATGCCTTTGCTGAATCAAAACACCACTGTTTTGTCTCTTACAGATTGTTAGAAGATACAGTGACTTCGATTTACTTAACAACAGCTTGCAGGTAAATGTTTCAAAACACTGGTGACACACATGGTTGCTTATGATATCTTTTACTGGTTAGAAGTCATATGGATAAGCTCCTTTTGTGGATGAGGACTGACTACATAGATTGCTAGAGTTCGTGCAGGAGTATCTGGGGCTCTCTCCTTTACTCTTGCTTGGCTCCTCTGCAGTTAGCAGTGTAGATCAGCATTAAACCATAACAGTAGAGACTCAGTCTTTTTCTACTCAATGATTTCTCTGAAGTACACATTAGATTCTAATATTCTAACCTGATGCCCTTAATCAAAAGAAGGAAGCTATGCAAGGACATCCAATGCCACTAGTAAAAGGCTCCTAGATAGTCTTCAGCACCATCAGAATCCCTGGCCATGTTAGTACTGAAGACTGTCAGGCTTGTGCCATTCCTCAGATTTGTGTGGCAGTAGAAACCTTTCAGTGTGTGCTGGAGTGCTTAGTTGTTGACCAGATTAGCAGGGAGGCAAAGAACTGCTCCCTTCCTTAGTGATCTAGCTATCACACACGCTGGGTGACCTCTGATGGTATGCACCAAGGTCAGGAGAACTTCTGGGTAAAAGGGAACATATTGCTTCCTTTTCCTTCAAACGGCCATGTTTTATGTCAGACTTCAGAAAATGGTGTCAGTAGAGCCCAAACATTATTTACTGTAAAAACATGAGTACTTTTCTTCTGCAATTGACCCAGTAATCTGTAGGACACTATAGTTGCTTTCTGTTGTACCTTTGATCTTTGTTGTATAGTTCTGGGGATTGAGTGCAGGGTGTTTCACATGCTGTCACATGATCTGTCTACCACTGAGCTATACCTTCAGATAATATTTGGTTTTAATTTTAGTATGACCAGTTGATCTCTAGATAACAAACATGTTGACAGAGATTGAATGATTGTTATTTTCTCGAGATAAATCTTGCCATGTACTGGCCTGGAACTTATTTTTGCTCCAGTGTAGTTTTTCTTTTTAAAATTAGTGCTTCTGATATGCATCTTATTTCAGATATTCACATACTGTGTGGGGTAGGGGTTGTTTTGAGACAGAGTTCCATACTGCTTAGCTGGTTTCCAACTTACTACATAGCCCAGTATGACCTTGAACTCCTCCTGCCTTCTCAAATGCTGGGATTACAGGAATGGGCCACCACATCTGGCAGTGGAAAGTTTTTCTTCATCCAAGTAAACAAACAGAAGAAAGTATGTGCAGCTTTTTGGCAATGAAATAATTTTAAAACAACCTCTATAACCAAAGGACTCAGAAACCTCAGAATGAAACTCTGACCGTGGTTTTCAGTATCTGATTACTCTCTACAGATAAGTGTATTCCTGTGAAGGAGAGAAATATAATCTCAATCTCAAGTATGGGGTGGGTCTGAGTACAGTGGGAACAAACTTTAGTATAATGATATTTCTGAATGCAAACTTACATGCCATATGATATAATTATATGAAATGTTTAGCAAAAAAAGGTTCGAAGGAAATATGCCAAAATGTTAACACTCATGATCCCCAGGTGGCAGGATTATGTTTTTTTTTTCTTTTAGCTCTTTATAGTGTTTGGTACTTTCCATGTTCTGTTAAAATGCATGTAGACTATATAAGTAAAAAAAGAAAATAGAAAAGTCTGTGTTTTCCAAAAAATTTTATGGTTATCATATTTCATAGGCACAGCACAGAAAAAAAAGCACCATATTTCAAATAAATACAGTGTCAAATTAGCAGCCAGCCAGGGAGGTCATGCATCGATGAAAAGGAAAGGAGAAAGGGGTTGGAGTGATGGGAAAACCCAGACTCTGGCCTGGTGGTAGACCTTGGATCAGCCATCTCTTCTTTTAGGTCTCATTTTGTCCTTCTCAAATGAAGAGTGACTTCTGTGGTCTCTCTTATTCCAAATGTTTTATGATTTCAATTTTACAGCCTGTAGTTGACCTTGGAGAGCTTATTTTATGAGATAAATTAAAGGTTGTTGAGAGTTTAGAACACTCACTGGCATATGCCTGAAGGTGATTGTTAAAATCTGATGATGGAAGGGAGTAAGGAGCATGACCAGTTCGGAGGTTTTACCTCCAGATAAAAGTTAACTTCCTGGAAACATTGGTAGAGTCTGTGTGTAATTTAGAAGCTTCTACTAGGCCAGAGGACCAGTTTCAGGTTCCACCTTGGGGACCTTCTAGCTCTGCACTTCTCCCTGAAGTTGGTATAAGTAGAACTCAGGAACTTCTCTGCTGGCTTTGTAGAGTCCCACCCAGCTTTCCCCTTCAAGGGAAGTTTTTTTTTTGTTGTTATTGTTGTTTGTTTTTTGTTTTTTATGTTTTTTATTGATATTTATTGAGCTCTACATTTTTCTCTGCTGCCCTCCCTGCTTCTCCTCTCCCCCGCTTCAACCCTCCCCCAAGGTCCCCATGCCCCCAATTTACTCAGGAGATCTTTTTCTAATTTCTATTTCCCATGTAGATTAGATCTATGTATGTCTCTCTTACTGTCCTCATTGTTGTCTAAGTTCTCTGGCATTGTGGTTTGTAGGATGGCTTTTTTTTTCTTCTGTGTAAGTTCTCCATTGTGTAAATGTACCACATTTTTCTTATTCATTCTATGATCAAGGGGCATTTAGGTTGTTTCCAGGTTCTGGCTATGACAAATAAAGCTGTTATGAACATAGTTGAGCACATGTCCTTGTGGCACAATTGAGCATCCTTTGGATATATCCCCAAAAGTGGTATTACTGGGTCTTGAGGAAGGTTGTTTCCTAATTTTCTGAGAAATTGCCACACTGACATCCAAAGGGGCTATACCAGCTTGTATATACACCAGCAATGCAGAAGTGTTTCCTTTTCCCCACAACCTCTCCAGCATAAGTTGTCATCAGTGTTTTTGATCTTGGCTATTCTTACAGGTATAAGATGGAATCTCAGAGTTGTTTTGATTTTCACGTAAGGGCGGGTGTGGTGGTGGCACAGGTCAGTAATCCTACTACCCTACAGGGCGATGAGAGGCAGAGATAAAATTCCCAGCTTGAGGACCAGCTAACTTAGCGCGTGAAGCAGGAACAACTAAAAGGCTGTGGCTCAAATGAGGTGGAAAGTGAGAAGTGACACGCAAGGTTGTCCTTCAGCCTCCACGCGTACACTATGACACCAGCACACCTGGGTCCACGCACACACACCGTATACATGCAAAAGAAAGTAAAAAAAAAAATAGATTGGTTGGGGCTTGGAGCTCTCACCATTCAAGACAGACATTTCAGGCTGGTAGAGTGCTGGCCTAGCACACATGGAGCTCGGGGTTCAGTTTCCTGGCTCCACAGAGAGTATGGTATTGTGGTACACACCTATGCTCCCAGCCTTTAGGAGGTGGGGGCATGAGGGTCAGGCTCATAGCCATTCTCAGCTACCTAGAGAGTTTGAGACTACTCCCTCAAAACAAACAAACAAACAAACAGAAAAGACAACTGTTTTATCAAATACATTCTTATATCCCCACCATAAATGGAAAATACTGGTGTTTGAATCCAGTGCTGCATATGGGACGATGTAGGACTCATCACTCAGTGGGTGCTGTTGTATGGACCATGCAGTCCCGTGTGTTCATAATAAATAAATAATTTTAAAAAACCTTGCCTAAAATATCATTTTAATTAGAAAAAGAATGTTTTTCTCTTTTAGTTGAGAAGGGTACGTGAGTATGATAAATATTTCATCACAGAATAAAAAAATCACAACCTGCTCCCAGAGATAGCTATGTGTGAATCTTTTAAGAGAGTTTTCATGGGAGCTGGAATGATGGCTCAGAAGTTAAAAGTACTGGCTGCTTTTCCAGAGGACCTAAGTTTGATTCCCAGAACCCACTTGGTGGCTCATAACCATCTATATCTCCAGTTCTAGGGGCTCTGAAGCCCTCTCTAGGCATGGATGTGGTGCATAGGCATAAATGCAAGAAAAACAGTTACACACATAAAAATTTTAAAAATTAAAAAGCTTTTTTTTTTTTTTTTTATGATTTTTCGAGACAGGGTTTCTCCGTAGCTTTTGGTTCCTGTCCTGGAACTAGCTCTTGTAGACCAGGCTGGCCTCGAACTCACAGAGATCCACCTGCCTCTGCCTCCCGAGTGCTGGGATTAAAGGCGTGCGCCACCACCGCCCGGCTAATTAAAAAGCTTTTGAGGAAAGAAAAAGACACTGTCCACTCCCATATATGAGCACATCCATGGTTTAAATAAAAATAAGATTATGTTCTACAAATTTCATAAGGTATTTTTAGGATATACCAGTTATGTTTTAGGCTACATTGATATATAACCTTAGTAATGCTTTCTGCCCTTGAGCAACATCAAATAAAATGATTGTCATGCTGAGTGATGTGCTTTCTTTGTACTTATGCATTATATTTAGCTAAGCAAGAAACTGTAATCACTCCTTGGCCTTTCTGCTAAGATAAAGTGAAGAAACTCCTTAGATAAAGCTTAATTTTATGAATGAGAAAAAAACCCTTGAAATTTAAGTGTCTTATCTAGTGACAAACTACTATGATAGAAAATGTATCCTAATTGTCTGAAACGTTTTCATAGTTTTACGGGAGAAATAGGCAACTTAGAGTTGTCAGCTAGCCGTTTTCCCATGACATCGTACTCATTACTTTCTGTTGCTGTGATAAAACACCGTGACTCATAGAAGAAAGTTTATTCTGACTGAGGTTAGAGCCCCTGATGGTGGGGCAGCATGGCAGCCTGAGCAGCGAGCTGGGAGTTCATATCTCGGAGTCCAGGCATGAAGGAGAGAGAACAAACTGCAAGGAGGGCAGGGCTGGAGGCTCTCAAGACCTGCCTCTAGTGAAGGCTCCGCCAGCAAGGCCACACTTCTCAAACCTCCCCAAACAGAACCACCAACTTGAGACCAAGCACTCACCACATGTATGATCCTATAGGGTCCATTCTCATTCCAACCACACGTCTTAATTCATTGGACTGTGTCATCGTTGCTTGAAAAATCTAGAGTGGAACCTGAGTTAGGTTTGCCCCTGTGACTAGCTTACCATGCATCCTTTTCTAAATTTGAGGTGCCCTTCTCATTTGGCCTTACCCTCAGTCAATCAATATGCATATCGTTTGGATTGCTTTTTTGTTTTTATTTTTATTTTTGGTTCAAGTGTCAAATAGCACTACTATAGTACTACTCTTTGAAAGTGACCTTACTTTGCTTTTCAAGTTTAAAAATAGTCTCAAAAGTTTGAAGTGATCTGGAAAATGGTAGGAGATTGAGCACCCACTTTTACCTTTTCTTCCTCCATAGCTATTGTAAGCAATAATAAATTGACTTACACACACACACACACACACACACACACACACACACACCTTCAAGGACAAATAGAAATGCTGAAGTGAAAACCACAACAAAGCATTTATGTTGAAAACCCAAATGACATCTAGGTGTGGTGGTCCACAACTTTAATGCTAGCACTTGTGAGGCATAGGCAGGCAGATCTCTGTAAATTCATGGCCAGCCTGGTCTACAGAGTGAGTTCCTGAATAGGCAGGGCTGTTACACACAGAAAACCTGTTTAGGGTTTCGGTTGCTGTGAAGAGACACTATGACCACAGCAACTCTTATAAGAGAAAAAAATTTAATTGAGGTGGCATCTTACAGTTCAGAGGTTCAGTCCATTATCATCACGCCAGGGAGCATGGTGGCCTGCAGGAAGACATGCTGCTGGCTGCAGCTTCATCACAAGGCAACAGGAAATTGTTGGGTCACACTGAGCAAAGAGATCCCAAAGCCCAGCTCCACAGTGACACTCTTTCTCCAACAAGATTATACCCACTCCACAGATTCAACGCAATGCCCATTAAAATCTCAGCAAAATTCTTTAAAGTCCGTGAAAGAATGGTATTCAACTTCATATGGAAAAGCAAAAAAACCCAGGATATAGCCAAAACAATCCTGTACAATAAAAGAACTTCTGGAGGCATCACAATCCCTGACTTCAAACTCTACTACAGATCTACAGTACTGAAAACAGCCTGGTATTGGCATAAGAACAGACAGGAGGACCAATGGAACCAAATAGAAGACCCGGATGTCAATCCACTCATCTTCGAACACCTGATCTTTGATAAAGAAGTGAAAAATATCAAATGGAAAAAAGAAAGCGTATTTAACAAGTGGTGCTGGCATAACTGGATATCAACATGTAGAAGAATGAAAATAGACCTATATCGATCACCATGCATAAAACTCAAGTCCAAATAGATCAAAGACCTTAACATAAAGCCAGCGACACTGAACCTCATAGAAGAGAAAGTAGGAAGTACACTTGAACGCATTGGCACACGGAACCACTTCCTAAATAGACCCCAGCAGCACAGACACTGAGAGAAACAATTAATAAATGGGACCTCCTGAAACTGAAAAGCTTCTGTAAAGTAAAGGACATGGTCAATAAGACAAAACAACAGCCTACAACAGAGAAGAAAAGATCTTCTCTAACCCCACATCAGACAGAGGCCTGATCTCCAAAATACACAAAGAACTCAAGAAATTGGACACCAAAAGATCACATAATCCAATAAAAAAAATGGAGTACAAACCTAAACAGAGAACTCTCCACAGAGGAATCTAAAATGGCTGAAAGACACTTAAGAAAATGTTAAACATCCTTAGTCATCAGAGGATGACTAATCAAAACAACTCTGAGATTCCATCTTACACCTGAAAGAATGGCCAAGTTCAAAAATACTGATGACAACTTATGCTGGAGAGGTTGTGGGGAAAAGGAAACACTCCTGCATTGCTGGTGTATATACAAGCTGGTATAGCCCTTTTGGATGTCAGTGTGGTGATTTCTCAGAAAATTAGGAAACAACCTTCCTCAAGACCCAGTAATACCACTTTTGGGGATATATCCAAAGGATGCTCAATTGTGCCACAAGGACATGTGCTCAACTATGTTCATAGCAGCATTGTTTGTCATAGCCAGAACCTGGAAACAACCTAAGTTCCCCTCGATCGAAGAATGGATAAAGAAAATGTGGTACATTTACACAATGGAGTACTTACACAGAAGAAAAAAATAATGACAGCTTGAATTTTGCAGGAAAATGGATGGAGCTAGAAAACATTATTTTTAGTGAGGTAACCCAGACACAGAAAGACAATTATCACATATACTCACCCATAGGTGGTTTTTAAAATAAAGCAAAGAAAGCCATCCTACAAACCACAATGCCAGAGAACTTAGACAACAATGAGGACAGTAAGAGAGACATACATAGATCTAATCTACATGGGAAATAGAAATTAGAAAAAGACAAGATCTCCTGAGTAAATTGGGGGCATGGGGAACTTGGGGGAGGGTTGAAGCGGGGGAGGGGAGAAGCAGGGAGGGCAGCAGAGAAAAATGTAGAGTTCAATAAATATCAATTTTAAAAAAGACTATACCCACTCCAACAAAACCACACCTCCTAATAGTGCTATTCCCTGAGATGGGAGCCATTTACATTCACATTATCACATTCCACTCCCTGGCCCCCATAAACTTGTTAGAGTATCATAATGTGCCAGGCGGTGGTGGTACATGCCTTTAATCCCAACACTTCGGAGGCATAGACGGGCAGATCTCTGTGAGTTCAAGGCCAAGCCTGATCAACAGAATGTGTTCCAAGTCAGCCAAAGATACACAGAGAAACCCTATCTCTAAAAAACAAAAGAAAACAAAAAAATCCACATAGTCTAGCACAGTCTCAACAATGTTTAAAAGTCCAAAATTCAAAATCTCTTCTGAGAGACATGCAATCTCTTACTGTTATCACCTGTAAAATCAAAATCAAAGAACATCTTATACTTCCAACATATAATGGTACAGGACATACACTACCATTCCAAAACATAGGGAAGGAAACATAACAAGGAAATACTGAACCAAAGCAAGACCCACATCCAGCTTGGAGTTTGGGAAAAACTGCAAACTCTGCATTTTTGTGTCTTATGTCAAAATTCTCTTCAGATCTCCAACTCCATTCAGCTTTGTCAACTACAACACACTTCTTTTGGGCTGTTTCTGCTCCCTGTTAGAAGCTTTCCTCAGCAGGTATCCCACAGCACTGGCTTCTTTAACATCTTGGGTTCTTTAAGGCAATTCAGCCCTCAATTTCACAGCTTCACAAAATGGGCTCTCTGGGCCTCCATTCAGGGACACCACAAGACATGTCTGGCCTCTGCAGCTTGGAGGCTAATTCCACTGCCTACATCTCTGTCCTTAACTCTAAAGCCAGAACCACGTGGCTAAAGCTGCTAAACTCTGCTGCTTTCTGGACTGGACCGTGGCCCCCTCGTTCAATTACACCTTCATCAACTTTCTGTCCTTCACTGACTAATCTTGACTGTCCTGAAACTAGATCTCTAGACGAGGCTGGCCTCAAACTCAGAGATGTAAAAAGGCAAAATTCTGAGATGGGAAGCAGATAACCTCATAGGATCCTATTTATAACACAGAACCCAAAATAGGCTCAGCAGTTGTGAATGTATTTGTAAGGAATATCATTTTTCCTAGTGTAAATACAATAATGTAACTGGAGGCAGGAGACAGGGTATGCAAGATGAGGTCAGAACTATGAAAGAGAACTTCTTTTTTGTTCTTTGTTTTTTGAGACAAAGTTTCTCTTGTAGCCTGAAACTCGCTTTGTAGACCACTCTGGCCTTGAACTCAGAGATCTGCCTGCCTCTGAGCTGGGATCCACTGTTCAGCTGTGAAGGAGACCTTAATCCCATCACCCATCATGAAAATATTACAAATACTGCCCAGGAATGTAGAGTCAAGACATTCCCCAATGCCAAAAGATCAGAACTGCTATGGTTGTTCCAGGGTCTGGAGAACCTGGCCCATGGGCTGTGGAGGAAGTAGTTTCATAGGACTACTAATGTTAACTTTGTAAAAACAATTTCTCTTGGTACTATGTCCAATAAACATACCAATAAAATGTTGGTAAAAGTGAAACAATCGGTTACTATGATTAGTATATAATTTTATCAATCATGAGATGTATAGTTTTATATATATAAAATTTTTAATCTTTAAAGTCTGCATTGTTTTATATTTAATGAATTACAGATGTTTCAGGATTCAGATATCAAACTTACTTGTGGATATATAACACAACTATAACTCCCCCCTCATCTTCCTTTTTTTCCTTCCGTTCTTTCAGATTGCAGGCTTGAGTCTGCCTCTTCCTCCTAAGAAACTGATTGGAAACATGGACCGTGAATTCATCGCTGAGAGACAGAGAGGCCTGCAGAACTACCTTAATGTTATCATGGCAAATCATGTCTTGTCCAATTGTGAGCTGCTTAAGAAGTTCCTGGACCCGAACAACTATTCTGCAAACTACACTGGTAAGAAACAGGGTCTGTGAAGTGCAGTCATGTGGGGCTTGGGCTCAGCAAGAGATAATATATGGGAAAGCTCTACTTCCATATGGGGGAAATGTGCACATTTGTAACAGGATAGTGTTTCTTTGCAAAGATTTTCTTGATTGTATTTTTCTATATATTTTTAGAAGGGGCATAATTTCCTTCCAAAATATTTTTGATGCCTGTACAGAAAATACAGAAGAGAAACAATTGTGTCTGTACCTCTGATTGCCCATTATCTTCTCTTTGGAACAGAGCAGACAGCCCACAGCAGTAGTGCACAGAGCACCCTCAGTCTGGTTTATGTTTACAGTGTGGAATATGTCTCGGTTTTCTTTAAATAGTTTTTAAATGTAATGTTGATTTAGAAGGGCTGTTTCTATGTCCTCACACCTCCTTCCTGAGGCTCTTGTGTGTCATGCGCAGAGGGTGGCTCCCCAGGATCAGGGTTTTTGCTTCCCTGCTAGTTCCACACAAAGTCAGCATCAAATACCCAAGCCTGACATCAGCAGAAGGAAGAACTAAATATCTACTTCCCTCTGGTGTGGCCTTTAGGGGCCTTTAAAACTATTATAGAGTTACCCTGATAAACAGAAAAAACAGATTATTTAAAGCCAAGCCATGCTTTAAGGGTTTCTAAATGGAACTCTGGTTGTTAATTTCTTGTTAAGGTAATAGATTCTGTTATTGTTTCTTTTTAAAAAAAAATAGTTTTTATTTGTATTTTATGTACATTGGTGTTCTGCCACACATGTAGTATGCCTGTGTGAGGGTGTCAGATCCCCTGGAACAGGAATTATAAACAGTTGTGAGCTGCCATGTGGGTCCTGGTACTTAAACCCAGGTCCGCTGGAAGAGCAGCCAGCATGCCCAACCGCTGAGCCATCCCTCCAGACCCCTGTTACTGGATCTTTTAAAACATTGTTGTTTTTTTTTTAATATTTTTTATGGTTTATTTAACTTTTATTTTATGTGCATTGGTGTGAAGGTGTCAGAGACCCTGCAACTGGATCTTCGGACAGTTGTGAGCTGCCATGTGGGTACTGGGAATTGAACTTGGGTCCTCTGGAAGAGCAGTTAGTACTCTTAACCACTGAGCCATCTCTCCAGCCCCTAAAACATTGTTTTTTAAAGCCAGACTCATTCCTACAACTCTAGCACTTGGGAAGAGGATTGCCATAAGTTTATACAGTAAGTTCCAGGCCAGCTTGGACAACAAAGTGAGATCCTATTTCAAAAATGCTAAACAAACACAAATTACTGTATCTGAATTAATAGGAAGACACTTGTCATTCTGTTTGAGAAGGGACACCTGGAAGCCTATTTCTCGTTGGGCTCCAAACCTTCCCAGTCAGTGCTCAGTCTATGTGTATGCCAGTCTGTGGAGTCTGTGAGCTCCCGATCTGTCTATGCAGCTGAGTGTGAGCTCACTGCTCACAGCGAGGTTCTCTAGGCTCTCTCACCAGGTGTAGTTGGCATCATAAGAACTTGTCTAAAGAACAGAGTTGAGGCCCTTCCCAGACCTGCCGGATCAGGAACTGACTTTAAAGGTTGTCCGGTGATTTGCGTATGCATTGCAGTGTGATGAGCCTTGTGGAGGTTTTTGCCATCTTCTAGTGGATGTTATACAAGATGAAGGAAAATGCTTTTCCAGAATCTAGTCAGGGAAAGGAATGGGTATTAAAATTCGTTTACTGTAGGTTACAAAGTCAAGCATTGTATGGTTACAAGGATTCCATTATTTCCTTCTTAAGCACTTTGACACTGGACGGGAACTCAGAAGAGCTTCAGTTCTGCCGCTGCCTTTTGACTCTTTCATCTCTTTCTCCAAGTCTCACCTTGACTGTTCCAAAGTTGTCAGCAGGTCACTTTTCTTAAGGTTTATTTATTTATTATGTATATAGTGTTCTGTCTGCATGTATACCTGCACCCCAGAAGAGGGCACCAGATCTTCTTATAGATGGTTGTGAACCACTGTGTGGTTGCTGGGAATTAAACTCAGGACCTCTGGAAGAGCAGCCAGCCAGTGCTCTTAATCACAGAGCCATTTCTCCAGCCCCCCAGCAGGTCATCTTTAATGAATCAACTCAGCTGTCTTCACATTTGTCAGCCTTATCTCCTGACAGTGTCTGCTGATGCTCTCGTGAGGGCAGGTGTCGAGCTGTAGTGGGCAGGTAGCGATCACTTCTATTCAGCATCATCAGTGACATGCCACACCGTGTGCCAGGATAGGCATGAAGCACATGCATTTCTTATATTCAAAGAGCTTAGACCAGAGAGTAGTAATGTACATGGGGTAGACACAGAAGGCATCTTAGAGCTGTTATCTCAAAACTAACCATGTGTCTACATGTATGTATATGTGTATACACACAGCATGTACACATGTGTGCGTGTGTACAAATGGATGTGTGCACGTGGAGGCCAGAAGTTGATGTCAGGTATCTTTCACTCCCCACTTTATTATTTTTGTTTACGACAGGGTCTCTCACTGAGCCTGAAACTTGTCATTTCCCAGGGTGGCCAGCCAGAGCACCAATCCTATCTATTCTGCCTCGGCAGCAACAGGATTCAGTGCTGATCAATGCCTCCAAGTTTTCACATGGGTGCTTGAACTCAGACTTCAGGTTGTCAGGTGTGCTTACACAGCAAGGATTTTATTGGCAGATTCTTCTCCTGGGTCCCAGCTGCCTTATAGATGAGGGAGCTAAGATCTTAAAGAGGCAGGGCTTACTTAGGCCCTGCACATTTGTTTGGCTCTGTCCTATCAGAGTTTTCCAAGTTAAAATGTTATTTGGTTTCTAGAAGTTTGTCTGTTTTCCTTCTGTTACCATCTAGGGATCTTGATCAGGTTTGTTTTCTCTATCAGTTAAAGAACTAAAAGGCTGGAAAAATCCGGAGTGAAACATGGAGCAATAGCAAAAATCTTAAACACAGCAAAGTGAGTCATCAGGTGAGGAAAGGAAGGCCACAGAGAGAAAACCCTCTGCACAGCTGAGCTGAAGCTGTCTTTCCTTGAGGGTGAGGGCTTTTAAGAGTTTTTAAGGGGTCACCATCCGTAATTCAGAGTTGATCAGTTTGAGCAAAGATGAGGAGTGTTATAGGTCCACAGCTTTGATAGAAGCAAGTTCAGATCCCACCTAGAACTTGTCTGACCTGTCCACATGCTGAAGGACCTATTAAGCTTTGGTCTCTGTTAAGGTGTGTGAGGAAGGTAGAACTGTTACACAAAGAAACCCTGTCTCAAAAAAACAAACAAACAAAAAGGGAGACCTGCTACCTCTGAGTCTATGAAAGCTGGAAGCCAGGAGGCAGTAGGATGGACTGAGGGCTTGGTTTCCCATTCTCTGTTTTGAGCTTTTGTTTCTTAGCACTTAACTGAGTAGCCATTTTGCCCCATTTTGGGGGTATGTGTGGAGGGTGATGGTGGGGTATTGAGACAAGGATTCACTGTAGCTTGACTGATCTCAAACTCACAGAGATCCACCTGCTCCTGCCTCCCAAGTGCTGGGATTAAATGTGTACGCCACTATCACCTAGCTAAGAAACAATACGTTTTCTTTGAGGATGGGTGGGGGGATCTTTTTTCGAGACAGGGTTTCTCTATCTGTCCTGGAACTTGCTCCATAGACCAGGCTAGCCTCAAACTCAGAGATCCGTCTGCCTCTGCCAACCAGCATTTGGGATTAAAGGCATGTACTACCATGCCAGGCTAAGAAACAATTTTTTAAAATAGCAAAATTTATAAATAAATATTATGAAAGAGATGTAAGTAGAAGGCAAATGTATTTCTTTTCGGGGTCTGCACATTCTAATGGTTCCAATGGGAGGTTCCACATCCATTGGCCATGTATTGAATCTTTAGTTCTTTCTTCATCAAATATTAATTGAGCAGTATTGTATGTGCCAGGTGCTAAGTCTACAGCACGGCCCATAGCACTTATGCAAAGAGATTTCTCCATTGCAGAATGAGCAGGGTTAGAAGGTGCACCAGGCCTGGAGATAGAGGAGGGCTCCCAGAAGCGGTGCTGATATTAGCATCTGAGAGGCCAGTGGAGGTTATCAGAGTCAGGGGCCAGTACTACAGGAAGAAGAAAGAACCCAGAGTAGGGGGAATTAGTATTTCCAAAGGGCTCTAGGCTTTACTTAAATTAAAAGATGTCCTGCCGGCTAGAGTTTGCAGCAATGAAGAGAACATTCCTAATTCAGGACCTGCATGGTCCCTGAGGGACAGATACCCTGGACATGTATGAGGAGGAGAGGGTTTGGGAGTAGGGGAGCATTAGATTTGGGCTCAGCCTGAAGGGTTATCTGGTCCTTGTGGAAATGCTGCTGCTGGGGCCAGGCCAAGAGGTTGTGGAAGGCAGAGCTCAGTGTGGCTGGTGAACTAAACACTGTGGGCCATGAAACCTAAGCCAGCTAGACACTTGCTTTAGCAGTTGGGTTTTGGTTTGGTAGGAAGTGGGAAACCCAAATGGGCTTGTATGCAGAGATGTTTAGGACTGATACTTAGTCCTGAAAGAGAGCATTAGAATTAATCACCATGGAATTTTTTTTTTATGATAAATAACAGTTCCGTGAAAAGAAAATTTTTTTTCTCAAGCTCTCTGATCTGTAAAGTATAAAACAAAAATCTAATTCCCAGTCCCCAATTTATCAGGAACAAATCTATCTCGTCTTATTTGTTCCCTGTTATTTCTCCATTTCTAAAATTGTGTATGACACATAGTTGAAAGGCCAAAGCGTGGCCAGTTGGGTACCTTCGGCAGGCCCTGCCAAGATGTGCCACTGAAAGAACATGCCATGCACAACAGCAGAGTTAGTGCAAGAGATTTACTGGGGCAGTGAGAAGGAGAGAGGGAAAGAGTGAAAGGCCCCCTCGGAGTGGGGACACAAGAGAGGCAGTCAGACAGACAGACAGACAGCAGAGTAATAGGCAAGAGAGAACAAGAGAACAGACTGATAGAAGGGCACGTTCTAAAAGACGTGTGTGCTGCACAGTGAGATGGAAAGCCACCTGCTGGCAGGGGATAACTTAATCGCCGAGGCAGGCTGGCCGCCATAGTTGGAACTAACATTAGTAACATACAGTAACTTGTTGATTGATGGTTTATGAGTCACCTTTAGTTTTGAACCATTGTCCTGTGTAGTTTCTTGAAGTGACAATGTGGTAGATAGAAAATTATTTTCCTGATTTTTCTCAAATTTGATATGAATGCTTTCACTTAAAATAGTTTTCTTTTTAACTTGTTTTCAGCTTTCTTTGGAAATGATAAAAATGCTGTATCGACGACATTTATACAGAGGCCCAGCATGCCCAGAGCTAATAAAAACTGATGTTCTTATTAGCAGCCCCAAGCCCTTCCCAAAGTCCTGTGGCATTTTAGAGCAGCTAAGAATGTAAATAGAATGTAAATCTGATAGAATCTAACAATGTAAATAGAGCCAGTTTTGCATTTCGTAGTCATGTGTTTCTCTGGGATATTTAGGTGACACTTTGCATAGTGAGTCAGTAAACACACAGCTGACTGTTGTCTCCTGCAAACTTCTTCACTCAGAATGTTCTGTAAAACATGCAGTGGTAATGTTTGCCAAGCTCTAGGGGATTCCAGGAGAGAATGTTGTTTGGACATATGGAGGGAATTGTTGGTGAGTCCAAGCCTCGCCAGTCTCCTTGGGATGTAATTAGCGCCAGGCTGAGGTGAAATTCCACTGTTTACTCTTTGCTTTCAGGGATCCGGAGTGATTTCACTTACCACATTGGCAGGAAATGCTATCCAGCCATGTTGTGTGTGTGTGGGGGGGGGGGGGCGGTGCGGGAAGTGGAGGTGTAAAAAACAGTTATTCTGATAGTTTCTTAATACAGTGAACTTGGAGGAACTTCCTCTTTTCATTGTCTTTGTTAAAGGGGAAATGTTTGCATGATAAATGAACAACAAAAAGAGCATAAAAAAATCTGTAAGGAAACAGGCACTCTGTGCCACATCACAGTTGAGCCATGTTATTGTGAAACATTTTTCTGAAACTCTGGCTTTTATTCCAGTGTCTACTTGTGGCTAATCACTTCTTTGTGAAAGCTGTAATCCCATAAGGAATGAAGATAGGATAGATGTCACTTGGAACATGTTGTTCTGTGTGATTTATAATACTTTCTGAATCTTGAGCTTTCATTGTGGCCTGATTAAATTCCTGGTTTAGCCAGCTAGTTTACATACTTCAGGTTACCTAGGGTTTTTTTTTTTTTTTGTTATGTTTTTAAATAGAACCCTTGGAACTGGTGTTACAAACACAGTTGTAAGTTGCCATGGGGATGCTGGGAATTGAACCTGAGTCCTCTGGAAGAACAGCCAGTGCTCTTAACCACTGAGCCATCTTTCCAAACCCTAGATTTCCTAGTTTAAAGAAATCTATACACTACAGGGATTTCACTTGTATGAACAATATGTGAAGCCATTGGTCTTTCCTAACACATCTGACTAATAATGGATTTCTACAATATCGTTACAGAGATCGCCTTACAACAGGTTTCCATGTTCTTCCGATCAGAGCCCAAGTGGGAGGTGGTAGAACCACTGAAAGACATAGGTGAGAGGCTGGCATGCTCATTCTGCATTGGAACTGTGCCTGTTCATCCCCGGGAAGCTCTTTACATCTGTTGACTTCATATTCCTTCTACCTCCCTACTGCTTAAAGTATTATCCCTAACTTTTAATACCTATTAACCTTGGTTAAAGCCCTGTCAGAGGACTAGGGTGCTGGTAACTTTCAGAACCTCTATTCTTTCTTCTTTAGCCATTTTTAGTAGGTCTAGATTGAAGTGCTGTTTTATTAGCTTTTCCATAAGTAATTTCTTTGTTTATTTTTTTTGTAGTATAGTCTTTCCATATGAACATTGTTAAGTGGTTGGGACCTACATATCTGAGGCTAAAATTGTTAAATGTAATTTTGATTAACTACTTAGTCTATACATCAACTGTTGCAAAAATGCTGACACTATAAGCACCTTTCTGCTTGCTTCTGTGGCAGGTTGGAGGATAAGGAAGAAATATTTCTTGATGAAAATTAAAAACCAACCAAAGGAACGACTGGTACTGAGCTGGGTAAGCGAATTCTTTTGCTTTAGTTTATGCCAACAGATTTAAATAATATATGCAAGAAAGGTTTTTTGTTTTGTTTTTGTTTTTTGAGATAGGGTTTCACTGTGTAGCCCTGACTGCCCTGGAATTTACTGTGTAGACTAGGCTCTCCTCAAACTCACAGAAATCCGACTGCCTCTGCCTCCCGAGTGCTGGGATCAAAAGTGTACGTGCCCACTATGGAAGAGAGTTTTGATAAAAAGACCCTCAGAACTGTACTGAGCTCACACATGGTGATGTAAGGACTTTCTCAGTCCCACATCATGGAGGGTTGTTCAAATATCGCGGCTATACATTTGGTCAAGTATCAAATGTTCAGAAGGATATAGGAACAACCTGGAATTAGGACTGACAGTTTTGGAATGACCTGCAAAGAAAGCTATTGAGCATTACCTCATTCTTTTCTCTATGGCAGTTCTAGTGACACATTTGGTATGGGACTGGAGGAAGTCTCAGTCATACCTTGGTGTTCATATATGCACATACTATCTTTCCAGAAAAGGCCTTGAAGCAGCAGACTTGATATGGTTTCCATCTTTGATTTATAATTAAGAATTTGGGCAAATAAAATTAGGAAGAAGGACATAAGGATTTTTTTTTCTTTTTGGGGAGAAACAAAAGTGATACTCTGATATTTCTTCTTGTATTTCCAGGCTGATCTTGGTCCAGACAAGTACTTGACAGATAAAGATTTTCAGTGTATAATCAAACTTCTGCCTTCCTGTGTGGTACGTACAAGTCCTCCTGCTGTCCTCATTGCTAATCAGAGTCAGTGTTGTTTTGAGAGTGTACGTGGGTAGAAGAGCTGGAAATGCCCTGTAGGTTCAAGAGAATGGAAAGGTACAGTGACTTTTAGTTCAGACCAGAAGTGAGCAGGGCAACTCCCTTAGATCAGAGGTCCTTTAAGCCAGTGTTTGAGACATCTTCATAGCCCATTAATCATAGTAATTTAAGTGTAGTCTTTGTATTTTAATCAAATACCAGAGTAGGAAAGCAACTCTTGTCTGAACCTCTTGTTTTTTGTTTTGTTTTGTTTTTGCTTTTTGTTTGCTTGAGACATGGTTTCTGTGCAACAGAGCCCCAGGCTGTCTTGAAATGTGGTTTGTACACTAGGCTGGCCTCAGACTCGCAGACATCTACCTGCCTCTCCCTCCCGACTGCTGACATTAAAGGCATGTGCCACCACTGCCCATGAACCTCTTCTGTTGAATGTTTGAACACAAGGCTAACTGCTCAGGCTCTAGGTAACCAGCCTGGGTGAAGGAATGACTAAATAGCCACTTTACTGTCTCAGGTACCTTTCACAGGCTAGTCAGCTGGCCTTTAAGGAAACATGTATTATTTATACTAATACACAGTCTTAATCTAAGGCCATTTTTTAGAAGAAAGGACACAGATAGACTCAGAATATGTACGGAACATCTTTAGCACCCTTCAGGTGGGTTAATAATAACACCACCACCTGTTTTCCACACTCTACAATTAGTTGCTTGTGGAGTGAGCACAGTCACATTAACTTGTCTGCTTAGATTGGCAAGTTTACCTTTGAAGACCTCTTGTTAAAGCATTGAGGCCACTGAGTAGTGGTGGCGCACACCTTTAATCCCAGTGAGTTTGAGGCCAGCCTGATCAACAAAGTGATTTCCAGGATGGGATGGCCAGGACTGTTTCACAGAGAAACCCTGTCTCAAAAAATAAAAAGGCAGTGAGGCCAAATATTAATGAGATGTGATTTTATGCTGAAGAAAAATATTGTGGCCTTGAGTTTATCTGATTGTTTGACAGACTTTCAACACCCAGATTTTGTTTTGTTACTATTGTTTGCAGTAACTGAGATTGAACCTAGCACTTTGTATATGGTAGGCAGATGCTCCACCACTGAACTATTTCAGCCATAATTTACCACTTATTTTAAGATGGGGTCTCACTAAATTCCCCAAATTGGCCTTGAACTCACTCTGTAACCCAGACAGGGCTTGAACTTGTTAGCTTCCTGCCCCTACCTTGTAGTAATAAGGGCGATGGGGCTGCGTCCCCAGCACCCCAGCCGCCCGCTCGGCTAGCTTATGCCCCGAAATAACAACACACAAACTGTATTCATTTAAACACTGCTTGGCCCTTTAGCCCTTACTGGCTAATTCTCATATATTAATTTAGCCCATTTCTAATCATCTGTGTATGGCACCCCAAGGTACGCTTACCGGGAAGATTCTAGCCTATGTCCATCCTGGGTCGGAGCTTCATAGCGTGCGTCTGCCCAGGAGCCAGGAGCATGGCGTCTCTCTCAGGCGTCTGCTCCAGAGAGGAGAGCTGTCGAGTCTGAGCTCACTTCCTCTTCCTCCCAGCGTTCTGTTCTGTTTACTCCTCCCACATATCTTCTAACCAATAAAATGGGCCAAGGCAGTTCCTTTATTAGCCAATGGCCTTCCTCCATCACTACCTGAGTCTGTGATTATAGACCTGCACTACCAGGCTCAGTTACCCCTGAGATTTAAATTACTTTCAATGAATGTTTAGGAAACAAAACAAAAACAAGAAGGAAGAGCCTGGAGAGATGGCTCAGAGGTTAAGAGCACTTGTTCGTGGAGAGGACCTGGGTTTGATTTTGAGCACCCACGAGGTAGTTCACAACCATCCATAATTCCAGTTCTAGAGATCTGTCACCCTCTTCTGACACCCACTATGAGCACCAGGCACACATGTAATGCATATACAGTCATATACACGAGATAAAAATAAATAAATCTAAAAAAATTAAAACAATAAAAAAGAATACTTGGGGTAGTGACCCAAGCTGTCATACCAGTATTTGGGAGACAGAGGCAGAGGTAGAAGAGTTACCAGTTCAAGGCCAACCTGAGCTACATAGCGAGACTTTGTCTCAAATAACAAAACAATCCTCTTCCCAACATGGTGCATGTAAGAAATACACATGAGTTGAGCTTGGTGGCTCAGTCCACAAGCAGCTCCTTCTAGAATACATACAATGTCGACCCATTTGCAGGCCAGACCTCAGACATATTTTGAATGTATACTTGTGGTAATCCAAGCAAGGTCTTAGATTAGGACTGTCTAATAATAAATAATGCATTTTTCTGTAAAGGCCAGCTGATTAGCCTGTGATTCACCAGGTTACCTAGAGCCTGAGCAGTTAGTCTTCTGGTCCATGTACCCAAAGTTCCAGGTTATAGGAAGACTTTTAAGTCTTTAAAGAATTTGTCTTTCCCTCACCTTGCTTGGTTGACATTAAAGTCCCCATCTGAGGAAGATACTAGGAACTCAGGGAGGTTCATGCTACTGGCTTCTGAAAAAAGCCAGGATGCAAAGCACACTGATCATGCTTTTCTCTAGTTGTTATGCTCCTTGCCTTGGCACCCAGACAGCAGTGCAGAGTAAGTGGTCAAGCTGTGAGCGGAGACACACTTGCCCTGGTCTCCTAACTCTGTGGATGCACACAACAAAGTGAGACCTTCCATGAGGAGCCTGTCTTCCTTGAGGAGCAGAGACTTTACATGAGGGGCTTAGCCAAGCAGAGCTCTATGTAAAGCTTGCCACGACACATCTTCCCATCTTTCTCTTCTCTGAGAAAGGTGCTAGTTGATCATCTACTATCATGAAAGTAGTGTGTGTTCAGGGAATGTCACTTTGTACAAACCTAAACCATCAACATGGCGTTTGACTCTATATAACCAGATCATGAATCATAAATCCTGATGTAAACCTGAATTTCTTTTTTGTTTTGGCAGCACCCTTACATATATCGGGTTACCTTTGCCACCGCTAATGAATCATCAGCATTGCTGATTAGAACCTTTAATGAAAAAGGAACGTTGAAGGATCTGATCTACAAGGTATTACTTATAAACCAAGTTCATGCTTATAAAGTTATTCAGTCCCTTAGTGTGATTGGAGGTTTCTCTTCCACCTGCCTATTCTGAATAACCACTCAGAGGATTAATATTACTTATAAGTGCTTGGCTAATGGCTCAGACTTATTATTAGCTAGCTCTTATATTTAAATTAACCCATAATTTTTAATCTACGATTTGCCATGTGGTTCATGGCTTGTTACCTTGGTGGCTGGCTAATGTCTCTCAGACTCCACCCCTTCTTCTCCAGTGTCTCTGCTTGGATTTCCCACCTGGCTCTATTTTACCTTGCTATATGCCAAAACCCCATTATTTATCAACCAATAAGAGCAACACATATTCACAGCATACAGAAAGACCATCCCACAGTACCTTAGAACCTGTTACTGATACTTGATACATAAAATTCCAGAAGTTGAGCTGGGTGTGGTGGCACATGGTTAATCCAAGGACTTGAGAGGCAGAGGCAGGTGGATCTCTGTGAGTCTGAGGCCAGCCTGGTCTACAGAGTTCAGGACAGGATAGCCAAAGATACACAGAGAAACCCTATGTCAAAAAAATTTTTTTTTTTTAAAAAAAAAGATGCCATTTTTTGGGCTAGAGAGATGGCTCATAGGTTAAGAGCACTGACTGCTCTTCTGGGGTCCTGAGTTCAATTCCCAGCAATCACATGGTGGCTCACAACCATCTGTAGTGGGATCTGATGCCCTCTTCTGGCATAGGGTGTGCATGTAGATAGAACACTTAGAGCACTCATATATATTAAATAAATAAGTAAATAAATATTTACTTTAAAAGAAGAATAAAAGCAGTAGTAGGCTAGGTGGTCTACTGAGTGAATTCCAGGCAGAAATTAGGGAGTTTGAGGCCAGTCTGGTCTACAGACTGAGTCCCGGGACAGCAAGGGCTGTTACACAGAGAAATCCCATGGAGGGGGTAGGGAGAAAAAAAGCAGTCCTGGAGAATTCTAACAGTAGGCAAGAGTTTGGGAATTGCCCAGGATGAGGCCAACTATGTCCCTCAGATACAGAAGAAATAGAGCCCAGTCAGCCTCTCTATCTCAGCTACAGACTATTGAATTACATAAGCCCCACATCTGTGTGCTGGGGCCCTGGCACCTTTAGTCCCATGCGGTTTTACCTTTCAGGAAGCCCCAGGGTAAAAATTGGCTCTTCTGTTACTTATGTGTTCTTGGTTCCCTTGTAAAGGCAAAACCAAAGGACCCCTTCCTAAAGAAGTACTGCAACCCGAAAAAAACCCAGGGTCTGGAACTCCAGCAAATAAAAACATATGGACGGCAGATATTAGAGGTAAGACATACTTGATTTTGTTTAAATTGCACTCATGTTTCATCCAAAATTACAATTTTTTTAAAGATTTATTTGTATGTGTATGTTTGCCACGTGTGTGGAGGCCTCCCTCTGTAGAAGCCTGAAGAGGATGTCATCCCCTGATGCTGAAGTTACAGGTGTTATAAGCCATCCAACAGCAGTGTGAGGAACCGAACTTTGGTCTTTGGGAGAACAACAAGTGATCTTAACTGCCGAGTCATTCATCTCTACAACCCCTGGAGTGGCAGTTTCCATATGGGAAAGTTCCCTGGCAATATCCAAAAGCAGAGACATTGTTCTATTTATCTGGAACTTGATAGCATTGCTTTATTTTGCCCCAACAAGCAAATATTTGAGATGACGCTAGCAATAATATAGATCTATAAAGTTCTAAAAGTTTGGCTGAGTGTGGGTAAGTAAGCCATGCTATGTGTGAGACAAAAATCAAAGGACAGCTTTGATTCACGGTTCACAGACTGAACTCGGGTCATTTAGCCCAAGATTTTTTTTTATTTTTATTTTTTAAAGTGTAACTAACTCTGGCTGGCCTGGAGTACATTGTATAGAACCAGACTGACTTTGAACTCAGGGTTCTACATGCCTCTGCATGCTAGAATTAAAGACATGCACCACCATGCCTGACCCCATATGTCTTCTTAACAGAACTGTAAAGGGTTTTTCCTGTTTGGGCAGGATGGAGATGTAGCTCTACTAGACAGTGTGTTTTAGTGCTTCGAGGCACAAAATAATCCTCAACACCAAGAAAAATGGAGGAGAAGGAGAGGGAAAAGAGAGTATCAACTTTGGCCTTGTCATCCTCTGTGTAATATTCCCTAGGCTTCTTGGATTGTGCAAACCCATCTATGGAGATTTAAGCATAGTTCTGTGTTCCATGTTCTATAGATAGATAGATAGATAGATAGATAGATAGATAGATAGATAGATAGAGATAGAGTTCTGTGTCTCATGTTCTCTGTGTGTGTGTGTGTGTGTTTGTGTGTGTGTAGATATGTGTAGATAGGTAGGTACATATGTGATTTTGTGTGGGCACACATGTGGAGGCCAGAGGTCAACAGCAGGTGTCTTCCTGTCATTGTCCACCTCATTTTTTTGAAACAGGATTTCTCACTGAACCTGGAGTTCACCTAGGCTGGTTGACCAGTAAGCTCCAGGGATCCACTTATCTTTCCCTTCTGCCCCAGAACTGGAGTTACAGATGCAAGCTTCCATGGTGCTGGAGATCCAAAAATTAGGTCTTCTTGCTATGTACAGGCACTTTAATCCACTGAGCCATCTTCCCAGCCCCTTTTCCATGTTATATATATATTTAACTATAAATTTACATATATGTACTGCTAGCAATATATTTTATGCGTTACAAGTTTTAAAAAGAATAAGTTTTATTTATTTATTTATTTTTCAAGGCAAGGTTTGTCTGTGTGGCCTTGGCTGTCCTAGAACTTGCTCTGTAAACCAGGCTAGCTTCAAACTCAAGAAATTCACCTGCCTCTGCCTCCTGAGTGCTGCTGGGCTTAAAGGAATACTACACCACTGCCCTGCCTGGTGGCAAGAATAATTAATACTTTTTTTTAAGGATGAGATTTTTAAAGCCAGCAGCTGGAAAGAGGTGTTTCCGTGTCTCCTTCTGTCTTTTCTGGATTGCTGGGCACTCCCTCCCCACCACTGCTCAGTTCCTCAGGTCCTTGTGGGGGCATATGCACAGCTGTTGCTGAGGGAGTCACTGTTTCTCTAAGTTGAAGCTGAAAAGTTTGCTCCTTTTGGAGAGGCCAGAAACCTACTTTGTATTTTTATTATCAAATATGTCCCAAGTAGATATTGAACTTGAGATGTTCTCAGCTTAACCCCTTTCCCTAAGTGATTGGCGGAGACACTAGTGCCATAGCTTTATGAGTCGATGCAGGTGGAATGGGGACTCTCTCAGAAAAAGAGCTGGCCTGCTGGCACCAGGAAGTTCCCAAAGCAGAGCCTTTCACTATCAGAGCTATTCCCTCCAAGCTAATTCTCTTCATCTGGGAAAGAAGGGGATTTGGTGTTGTATCTGACAGTCTCACAGCCGGGAGGTACTCTGTATCACTCCTTTTTCCAAAGAAAGGATGGAGGCGGCATTTTAACTTTTGCTGAGGGATTAACTCTTAGTCTCCTGCCTGGTGAGAAAATGCTACTGAGCTACATGCCCAGCTGAAATGGTTTCCTTTTTATATTTGTTTACTTGTTTGTTTATGTGTGGAGGTCAGAGGACAATCTGGGAGTCAGTTCTCTCTTTCCTGTATGTCTGCCCCAAGGATTGACCTCAGTTTGTCAGATTCAGTGGTTACCTTCTACCCTGAGCCATCTTGCTCTCCCATCTTTTTTTTTTTCAGGGGGTGAGGGGAGGGGGGAGTTGGGTTTTGGTTTTGTGAGACAAAGTTTCTCTAACCACCCTGTCCTGGTTAACCACCCTTGTAGACCAGGCTGACCTTGAACTCAGAGGTCCGCCTGCCTCTGCCTCCTGAGGGCTGGGATTAAAAGGTGTGTGCCACCACCATTCAGTTTCCCCAAAAAATACTTAAAACATGAATTTAACCTATGTTATATGGGCATGAATTGGGACCAATTCAGTGTGCACATATTTTTTAATAGGTACTGAAGTTTCTCCACGACAAGGGATTCCCTTATGGCCACCTTCATGCAGCGAATGTAATGATGGACGGCAACACTTGCCGGCTGCTCGATCTTGAAAACTCCCTATTGGGTCTTCCTTCCTTCTACCGATCCTACTTCACACAGTTCAGGAAAATCAATGTAAGTGTGACAGTCTTGTCAGGTCTGTGTTTAGGTACAGATTACCCTATACATCATGAAGTGAAAAATATAGTTAGAGCATACCTTGTTCCCATTTCTCTCATGGAGCATTGCTGATCTTTAAGAGGCAAAGATGAAATGGTGGGTGGGACAAGGAAGGGAATAGAATTGATTGAAAATGACCTATAGCTTAAGTCAGAAAAATGCCTTGTTTGAAAAAGGCTTTGGAGTTGTAGTGGGAATGGGCCTGCTCCTGCACCTTGCTTCACAGTTAAAGCTTGGGCAGGAGCACTGAGGGCTAATGGCTGAAAGGTGAACATGGCACTGCTCTTTCTTCCCCAGACATTGGAAAGTATAGACGTCCACTGCTTTGGCCATTTACTGTATGAAATGACTTATGGACGACCTCCAGACTCCGTGCCTGTTGACTCCTTTCCTCCTGCACCATCCATGGCTGTGGGTCAGTATAGAGCTTGGGAGTGGGGTCTGCTGGGACTTGGTAGTCTGCAGAGCTCCTTAACCTCTTTCCAAAGTCCGAGAAAGATACAGAGGAAGTTGTCATCCTCCACAGACAGAGCACACATCAGTAAATATTCAGACAGCTTGTCTGTCTGTTCATCTGTCTCAAGCCTTTGGCAGACCTCCTCTAAACTGCATTGTAATTCTGGAAGCAACAGGGTGGAAAGAGAACTATGACCAGCTGGGGATTTAATTAGAAGCAAAAGTGAGGGTCAAGCAACTTGAAGTCAGATTTGAGGAACTAAGTACTTGTCAGAGTCCCATCCAAACTGGAATGGGACTTGAAGGAACTTCGTGGCTGGAGACCTGGAAAGTAAGGGCTTAGCTAGCTCATCCGTGCCTCCGGATTCTCAGGTAAGTGGGATCAAGAAGCTGATACAGCCTTACCCAAGGAGACTAAGGAAGACCAAAGGACAGATAAGGCATAAGGACTGATGTAAACTCACCTCAGACCCTCCTGTCTTCTGAGTGGCCGGCTCAGAGCTCAAGGCTGAAAGAAAAAGGGCCCACGGTAGCTTTTGGAACACTCTGCTTGACATGCAAATCACTTCATCAAGTTTCACTGTGCCAAATGAGGCAGTTTAAGAGAACAGACCCTGGGACTGTCTCCTGATGAGTTTGAACAGTAGCCTGTGAGTAGTAATCTGGTCCCTCACTTGTAGCATCGTGTCGGGTGATGAAGTGACAGCACTTTGTCCGCTGGTTTCCTTTAAAAGCAAGCAAGCAAGCAACAAAATCTCAAGTTCAGAATTTTACTTCTGTGTAATATTTGCTTCTCTCTAAAGAGAACAATTGTATGAATACAATCTTGGTGCTTTTCTCTATTTATCCTTGGAGTATACTTAGCTTTCTGTCAGCATGTGGTTTCTGAGGCATTTCTTTTGAATCATTGAAAATGCCAGCATTTCCCATCCCTCCCACGTATGCCATCTGTCTTTGTGTGAAGAGTTTTTGACACTGTCCTGATCAGCCCGCAGACAGTTGTTGCAAAGAGATGTCAAACTTTTCCTCAGCAAGTGGATCTTTGAGAGTGTTCTGTGGAACTAAAATGTGTATCTGTTCATTTCAAGTGGCCGTGTTGGAGTCTACGCTGTCTTGTGAAGCCTGTAAAAATGGCATGCCTACCGTCTCCCGGCTCTTACAGATGCCGTAAGTCAATCATATGCATTGGTTGTAATCTTGATAACTGTGCTGAACCTTGGACCACTGTGCCCAGAGCCCAGTACCATGGTAAAGACTCAGTGGTGGTCCCTGCAGGATTGAAGTGACTGGCTTATTGTGTGTCCCATACAGCATGATACCATGATCTTGCCTTGTGTCTCTCTGCTTAGTCCACTTGCTGTCCTAGAACACCACTGTCCTTTCCATATGTGTTTTATCACCATTAGCGTGTGTGTGTGTGTGTGTGTGTGTAACTGGGTTTTTGCTTGTTCATTTCATCACTGGGCACTAGCTATTCAACTCCTAGCTAACAAATACCAAACCTTGTGCTAAGGGTCTTATACTCAAAAGACCTCCTATCAACAGAGTTGTGAGGAGTTGAGAGAGCTGATACCTGCCTGGGGCCCCTCCTTTAGGTACTGTTCCTTCATGGAGAGGCTAAGGGTGGTATCACTGAAGTCAGACAAACTTGTGAATGGATCTCAGCTTCATTCCTTATTCCAGGAAGACTTGGGCAAGCTTCTTCTGCATGTTGAGAAATTTCTCTAGCTCTGCCTGCTTTATCTGCACCAGCCTGTTGTATAGCAAAGTTCTTCAGGAAGTAGTAACAGCAGCCAACAAAGTGGGGGGAAAAGTCCTTCATCCCATCCCTTCTTCTGACGTGGTTAGAGAAGCCTGCTGTAGGCCAGGCTGGTGAGCAGAAGAAACAAGCCCTTGTCCGTGGATGTGACGCTGCGGCACCTGTTTCCAAGCCAGCAGCCACTGGTGACCATGTTCATGTGAAAGAACAGGTCCACTCTGAAAACTGCAACGTTTCCCACAGACTCCTAATCAAAGTGCATTTGGCTAGGGAACAGTGTGAGGCTGATGTACTTGAGTGTGCACTGGGTTCCCTTCCCCAGGTCTCTGGTTGTCCCCAGTCCCAGCAACAAGCACGTTTTGTCTTCTAAATCTTTGTACCTCATGGGCTTCAGCTTTGAGCACCATAGCTGAAGAGATGTGACTATGTTTAGTGGAAATATGAGGTCTGGAAGTAGTGGATGAGCTGCAGGGGAGGGCTCTGGGAAGGGCAACTGCCATTTCTGCAGGGGCTGAGTTACTGTCTTTAGACAAGAATTCTCAATTCAGATCCCTTAACCACTTGGACACTACCCAAGCAAGTCTTCTGACCCAAGCTGTTAGTGTTCCTCCTGCTGCTGTTTTTAATAACATACCTCTGAAGAAAGAATACAATCCAGAAACTGCTGCTTTAGAATGAAGTATGAGAAACAGAAGGAAATGATTTTTCTCTTAGAGTCCAATCATGACAATTCAAAATGTATTAAGTTCTAGAATAAACAACCTTTTCTGAGGCAAGAAAAAAAACAATTCTGTTCAGAAACATCTGCTAAATATATTATTTGCAACATTTTGTGAACTGGGGTTTATGAAGATTTTTTTTTTTACAAATATTATATTGCTCACAGTATTAAGTATAACTGACCTGGTCCCCTTCCTAATACCACCTCTGAGGGCACAGCAAGTGACGTTTAAATGCCTTTGCCTTAACTAACAAACTTAGTGCTGGACTGGGTGGCTCAGGGACTGAGCTATCCTGAGCTGCTCTTACCTGCCCCAGAGAGTGTTTCTGGTTTAAGAAAGATTTTCTTCTTCATGTTACCGGAAATAAAACCAGGGCCTTACACATTTGTTTCTTTTCTTATAGATTATTCAGTGATGTTTTACTAACAACTTCTGAAAAGCCACAGTTTAAGGTAAAGCAAATTATATAAATTTTGGATGTGTTGAATAAGTAAGTTGGCTTTGAAAAACTTTAAAAACAACAAAATAGTCATAATATAAAAAATTGGGAAACAATCTAAATATCCTGTAGCTAGTTATTGTTTTGATCATCTGTGATGCATGCAGTTGATTTGGTTTGGGGTTTGTTTGGGGTTTTTTGTTTTGTTCTTTTGGTTTTGTTTGTTTGTTTGTTTTAGCAGACTTGGATGGCCTGAAACTCGCAGCAGTCCTCTCATGCCTGCCTCCCTAATGCTGGGTTATAGGCATACACCACCATGTCCAGCTGTAGTGCGTGTATCTAAAAATAAAAGTAAAATGTATCTAGGCATTGTAATAATGTGGAAAGTTTATTTATCAACAAAATAGTGGGATCTGGAAGATAGAATATAAACCCAAACATCTGAATCTAAAGAAAAACCTGGAAAGAAGTCTCAAGAGAAGCAGTATCTGTGGTAGGACAATCATGGGCTTGTAACTGAAAAGCCAGAATCAGGCCTCACACTGCTCTGTGGATGCTAGTAACAATCTGATGTTTAGAGCCATGTCCATCTCTGTGCGGGGGCGGGGGTGGGACTGGCTGGTACACTACAGCATAGGAAGCAGCAACACCCCTGGCTCTCCCCGATGGCAGTCAAATTTCTACCTCATATGGTCCTTCAGTTGTTTTTGTTTTAGAAATCTACATATTGGTTTCCACAGTGATTATATCATCATACTGACAGTACACAAAGTTCTTGTTTCTCTACATCCCTTCCAAGACTTGTTACTCTGTTTTATATGTATAAGTGTTTTGTCTGCATATTTGTCTATGTACTACACATACGTTTGGTGCCTGCAGAAGCCAGGAAAGGGCATTAGATCCCCTGGAACTACAGGTATAGTTAAATGGCCACAAGCTGCCATGACGGTCCTGGGGACCAAACATAGGTCCTATGCAAGAACAGAAGGTGCTCTTAACTACTAGCCTTTCTTTTAGCCAAACTAGTTATAATTCCTTATTATATCTAGTGGTAACTCTAACCAAACAAGTGAAAGACCTGTATGACCAAGAGCTTTAAGTCTTTGAATAACAAAATTGAAAAGGGTATCAGAAAATGGAAAGGTCTCCCATGCTCATGAATAGGTAGGCTTAACATAGTAAAAATGGCAATTTTATCAAAAGCAATCTACAGATTCAATGCAATGCCATCAAAATCCCAGCACAATTCTTCACAGACCTTGAAAGAACAATACTAAATTTCATATGGAAAAGCAAAAAACGCAAGATAGCCAAAACAACCCTTTACAATAAAGGAACTTCTGGAGGCATCACCATCCCTAACTTCAAACTCTAATATTGAGCTACAGGCATAAAACAGGCAGATGGACCAATGGAATCAAATCAAAGACCCTGATACTAACCCACACACCTATGAATGCCTGATTTTTGATAAAGAAGCTAAAGATATAAACTGGAAATACGAAAACATCTTTAACAAATTGTGCTGGTCTAACTGGATTTCGACATGTAGAAGAATGCAAATAGATCCATATCTATTGCCATGTCCCAAACCCAAGTCCAAATGGATCAGAGACCTCCACATAAATCTAACCACACTGAACCTCATAGAAGAGAAAGTGGAAAGTACCCTTGAACACATCAGCACAGGAAATCACTTCTTAAATTATAACACCAGTAGCACAGACACTGAGAGCAGCAATTAATAAATGGAAACTTCTGAAACTGAAAAGCTTATGTAAAGCAAAGGGCACGGTCAACAAGACAAAGGGGCAGATTACAGAATGGAAAAAGATCTTCACCAACCCTGCACCTGATAGAGGGCTGATCTCCAAAATATACAAAGAACTGAAGAAACTACACATCAAATTACCAAATAATCCAATTAAAAAATGGGATACAGATCTAAACAGAATTCTCAACAAAAAAAATCCTTAAAAGTGTCAAAAAACACTTAAGGAAATGCTTAACATCCTTAACTGTCAGAGAAATGCAAATCAAAACAACTCTGAGATACCATCTTACACCAGTAAGAATGGCCAAAATAAAAAACAGTTATAACAACTTATGCTGAAGAGGATGTGGAGTAAGGGGAATACTAACTACTCCATTACTAGTGGAAGTGCAAACTTGTATAGCCACTGTGGAAATCAGTATGGTGGTTTCTCCGAAAATTAGGAATCAGTCTACTTCAAGACTCAGTAATACTACTTTTGGGCAAATACCCAAAGGATGCACACTCATACCACAAGACATTTGCTCTACTATGTACATAGTAGCATTATTTGTAATAGCCAGAACCTATAAACAACCTAGATGCCCCTCAACCAAAGAATGGATAAAGAAAATGTGTAACATTTACACAATGGAATACTACTGAGTGGAAAAAACAAACAAACAAAAAAATGACATCTTGATATTTGCAGCAAATGGACAGAATTGGAAAAAAAAACATCTTGAGTGAGGTAACCCAGACTCAGAAAGACAAATATAGCATGTACTTATAGTATGTACTTATTCATAAGTGGATATCAAACATAAAGCAAAGGATAACCAGCCTACAATCAACAACCCCAGAGAAGCCAGAACCCTCATCCCAGAAACAGATCGAAGCAGATGCAGAGATCCACAACTAACTGCTGGGCCGAGCTCTCGGAGTACAGTCGAAGAGAGAGAGGAGCAGTAATAACAACAAAGGGGTCAAGACCATGATGGGGAAACACATAGAATCAACTGATCTGAGCTAGTGGTAGCACACTGACTCAGGACTAACAGCTAGGGAACCTGCATAGGACTGTACTAGGCCCCTGAATGCAGGTGACAATGGTTTGTCGTGGGCAGTATGTGGAGCCACTGGCAGTGGGACCAGGATCTAACCCTAATGTATGAACTGACTTTGTAGAGCCCACTCTCTATGGAGAGATACCTTGTCAGCCTAGGCACAGGGGTGGGGGGTATGGTCCTGCCTCAACAAGGTGGTGGGACAGACTTAGTTGAATTCCCAGGGGAGGCCTTACCCTCTCTGAGGAGCAGAGCAGATGAAGGGAAGGTTGGGAGAGAGGGAGGGGAAACTTGGATTGGTATGCTTAAAAAATACAAAGTATTGTATAATAAAAAAAAAAAACCTTGTTATTCTTATTTGTCTGTTTTTTGCAACAGGGTCTCACTATGTTGCTCAAGATGGCCTGAAACTTGCTATAGCCCAGGCTAGCATGGAACTTAAATTCTCCTGCCTTGGCTTCTCAAGTGCTGGGATTAAAAGAATGTGCTACCATGCAGACTGAATTTATGTTTTTTTTTTGATAGTGGCCATCATAATAGTTATGAAGTGACATGCTATCTTTTTTTTAATATTTATTTATTTATTATGTATACAATATTCTGTCTGTGTGTATGCCTGCAGGCCAGGAGAGGGCACCAGACCTCATTACAGATGGTTGTGAATCACCATGTGGTTGCTGGGGATTGAACTCAGGACCTTTGGAAGAGCAGGCAATGCTCTTAACCTCTGAGCCATCTCTCCAGCCCCCTGTGACATGCTATCTTAGTGTGAATTTAATTTGTGTTTCTTCAGTATTGAACATCTTTTTTACCTGGTGAAAAGACCATTTGATAATGCATATTTTTTTACCATCTATATTTTTTCTTTGAAGAAATGTCATTAAAACTTTTCCCATTTTAAATTGGGTTTCATTTTTTTTGTTCATATCTTCTGATATTACGTCCTTGTTGATGGTATCCTTTCTTGAACAAGTTTTAATTTTGATGAGTCCAAGTTATTCATTGTTTTCTTTTATTGCCTATGTTTTTGGTATCGTATCCAAGAAATCCTTTCCAGCTGGGTAGGATAGTATGTGCCTGTAATCTCTGAGGCAAGAGAATCATTAGTTAAGGCCAGAATAGGCAAAATACCAGGCTATCCTGGGCCGTACAGTAAGATCCTCCCTTAAGAAAATGGGCCAGTCAGGCAGTGGTGGTGCACACCTTTAATCCCAGCACTCAAGAACTTGGTCTACAGAGTTGAGTTTCAGGACAGCTAGGACTGTTACATAGAGAAACCCTGTCTCAAAAAACGAGAGAGAAAGAGAGAGAGAGAGAGAGAGAGAGTGTGTGTCCTGGAGATGGGTGGTGGCAAACACAGCAACTGAGGAAGCTGCAGCAGAAGGATCTCAAATTCAAGTTTGCTTGTGCTTCTGAGTGAGTTCAAGGCCAGTCTGAACAACTCCCAGAGATGCTGTCCCCAAAACAAAGACAGACAAATGAATAAGTAAATTAATTTTTTGAGTAAAAAGAAAATAATAGCCTGGTGGTGGTGGCACATGCCTTTAATCCCAGTACTCGGGAGGCAGAGGCAGATGGATCTGTGAGTTTGAGGCCAGTCTGCTCTACTGAGTAAGTTCCAGAACAGCCAGGGCTATACAGAGAAGCCCTGCCTGGAGGAGGAGAAAGAAGAAAGAAAGCATTGACAAACCCAGTGCCACAGTGCCCCTTCCCTGTGCTGTAGCAGCTCTGCTGTTTTAAGTATTACATTTTGGTCTTGCACCTGTGTTGAATTACTTTGAGATTACTTTGGCAATTCTGGAACCCCTTGAATTATTTGAAGCATGGTGTGTTTATGGTTTATTTATTTATTTAATTTTGTGTTTGTTGCCCGAAAGTTCTGTCGAAGTGAATATAGCTGACATAGATGGAGTGTGCAGTTTTAACTGGTTCTATTCTAGAGGACGTCCCATGTGATCATGGCTACTGCTGAGTGTGTTCAGGACTCCGGAGACTCCAACCACTTCAATCATTAGTTCATGTACTACTTCTTTCAGATTCCCACAAAATTAAAAGAGGCATTGAGAATTGCCAAAGAATGTATAGAAAAGAGACTCATCGAAGAACAGAAGCAGGTAAGCTGGCAATAGTTATTCAATATTAGTGCCTCTATTCCCTGCCATGAGGTTCACAGTGATTGTCTTTGACTCTTTACTTGGTAAACATTATGTGCATAGTTGCTCTCAACCAGATTTTGGGCTAAGTGCTGTAACGCAGAGTACCATATCTTATAGTCCAGCCCTCAGTCTGTGAGAAACAAGGACACACACATGGTAGGGTTTCCTGGGTGGAGTGGTTGGCAGCACTCCTGTGCCACATTTTTCTGTAGAGTGAGGGTAGAAGGAACAGGAAAGTGAGAAGGATCATCACTTAGCATACCCTTCTCCCATAGATCTTGACATAGCCACGAGACTGACAGCAGGCTAAGAAAGGCCTGTTTATCCTAACAGTTTAATGTGATCATACACACAGATGTCTCCTTAGGATCCTGCTGTAGATAGGATTTCCTTACACTTATGGGGGATTGTCATCTCTTAAAGATTCACCAACATCGAAGACTAACAAGAGCTCAGTCACACCACGGGTCTGAGGAAGAAAGGAAAAGGAGAAAGATCCTAGCTCGAAAGGTAAGCCTGTTGTCCCTGTGTGAAAGTGGAAATTGCACTTATTCTTTATTTTTGTGTGGCTTTTTTTTTTTAATTTTTGGTTTTTTGAGACAGGGTTTTTGTTTGTTTGTTTGTTTGTTTGTTTGTTTTGTGTGTGTGTCTTTGGCTGTTCTGGAACTTATTTTGTAGACCAGGCTGACTTTGAACTCAAATTTGCCTGCCTTTGCCTCCCAAATTCTGAGATTAAAGGAGAGTGCCATCATATCCAATTATTTTATTTTTTAAGGATTTTTAAAATCTTTTTCTTTATGCTTATGTGTATTTTAAGCACATTGTAAACCGTTTAGAGGTTTGTTTTCTGTTTGAATCTGTTTTTATTGTATATCTCTATTTTTTTTTGAGCACATGAGTCTTTAATCTGCTAAGCAATATTAAAAGAGCTGTGAGATTTTTGCCTTTAACGCTGAGTCAGAAAGCCTTTCTTAAAAGAGCTGTGCCTTCGTTCACTGCTAGCCAACAGCTATTGGAGAGTCTGTGTTTGATTCTGATTTTGTATGTCTAAAATCCTTTTTTTAAAGCTTTTTTAGACTTTACGTGGAAATTTTTGCCCTACATTGGGCACCATTATGTAAATGGAGACTGTACTTTTGTTTCCCAGTAACCCAGACCTGTTTAATCACACAGAAACTATATTAATTACAATACTGTTTGGCCAATGGCTTAGGCGTATTCCTAGCTAGCTCTTGCATCTTAAATTAACCCTTAATTCTTGTCTGTGTTTATCCATGTGGCTTGGTACCTCTTCTCACTGAGGCTTTCTCATCTTGCTTCTTCTGTGTCTGGCTGGTGACTGCCTCTCTGCATTTCCTCTTCCCAGAATTCTCCTAGTCTGGTTGCCCCAACCTATACTTCCTGCCTGGCTACTGGCCATTTAGCATTTTATTAAACCAATATGAATGACAAATCTTTACAGTATACAAAAGCATTATCCCACAGTACCTGTGTTCTCTTTTTAAGTTCTTGACTGTATGTGAAGAAAATTCTAAAGCTAATGGTGTACACTTAGTGACACGTTTTGTATTATATCCCCTTGAAAGCTAAAAGCACTTCCAGATGACTAGTTTGGAGCTTAACACACACACGGGGGGGGGGGGGGGTGCGTATAATGGGCCATATAGTTTCCTGGTTTGCTAGGCCAATTATGGCAAAAATTAACTGGAGGAAATAAATGGTCAGCATTCTGGTTTTATTTTCCATTTTGACCTGTGGCTTCTTCACTGCATTAAGTTAGAAGCTGAGTATACCAATTTTTGTAGCTGGTTAAACTGTATATCCGAAATTTTTTTAAGTCTCTACTAAAGTGTGCCTTTTCTTTGCTTACCACCCACCTTTCTTTTATTTTTAAAGAAATCGAAGCGATCTGCGGTTGAGAACAGTGAAGAACAGCCAGTGAAGCACAGCTCCAATAACTCAGGTAACTGGTCTAGGTGGCTGGAGCCCGGCGTGCAGAGGTGCGGAGATTTGACTGAGCAGCAGTGATGTGTGCACAGATTAGAACTCTGCCCCCGGTGAATATTGTGACAACGCTCACACTCCCACCTCTGCACCAAACTCAGTCGGTCAGACATAGGAGCATGTGATGTGGAAGAAAAACAGGCCCTTCTTTGTACATGGAAATTTGCCTCAATCTTGCCTTCTGCTCTGGAACCCTTGTGGTTGGAGGAAGAGAAGGGAGTTTTCAATAACTCCTCAGTTTCACCCCTGGGGGGTGAGGCATGGGAAGGGGAAATTGAAGTTTAGCTGATTATACTCTAAGAAGATAAAGGACCCATATGGAAGGGAGGAGCTGAATATGCAAAGAGGAGAGTGTTTGAGAAGCCAGAGAACCAAGGATGAGCATTGAAAGCTCCACTGTCAGCGTCAGGTGTGGAGGAAGCCCATCAGTGAGGAGGCACAGGTGACTAAGCAGAAGGCTTTGAAAGTGGAAGGGCTAGGCATGCATGTATTCCTAGCTACTCAGGAGACTGAGATTATTTAAGGCCATGAATTGGAGACCAGCCTGGCTTCACTGTATTGAGACTGGATGGATGGATGGATGGATGGATGGATCAGTCGATCTATGGATTGATCTATCAATCAATCACAAGTCATGCCTCATTTTCCTTGGTCAATTCCGATAGGAAGATGTTTGCTGACACTAGAGGAGATACTGAGAGGCATGCAAGAGAATCAAGATGTATCTTGAAGGCTAGATTATCCTCAGCTGAAGAATGCCAGAGATGTGTGTAGAGCTGGAAATTGAAGGCTAGATTATCCTCAGCTGAAGAATGCCGGAGATGTGTGTAGAGCTGGAAATTGAAAGATTGGAATGTGAATCCTAGGACACTAGAAGTAGGATGAGAATCATGACACTATCACAGAATTCTAGAAGGAAAAGAGGAGGTCCCAGTAAGGACCAACATGCTTGGGGACGGAAGCTGCTATGACTGGCACATAATTTCATATTTGGAAATCTACTTGCTCCGTAGTTATAGGACGAATTTTTATAGGTAGGGGGAGAGCCATATATCCAACCAGCATGTCTATACACTAGTGATTCTGTTCATCTAGTTCTTTGTAAACCAGAGAAATCCTATACCTGAGAGGCAGGCGGATCTCTGTGAGTTCGAGACCAGCCTGGTCTACAAGAGCTAGTTCCAGGACAGGCTCCAAAACCACAGAGAAACCCTGTCTCGAAAAAAAAAAAAAAAAAAAAAAGCCTATACCTGCCCCTTCCCAAGATTATGCCTGCACTCTTCCACATGCACATGTCACAGAGTGGACACCAAAGAATTCCAAGAGAGGGTTTAGGGTTATCCTCAGCTACATAGCAAGTTCGACATCAATCTAAAAGACACACAAAACCTGTCTTAAAAAACAAAAATCTTAGCCGGGCATGCCTTTAATCCCAGCACTTGGGAGGCAGAAGCTGGCAGATCTCTGTTTGAAGCCAGCCTGTCCTACAGAGTGAGTTCCAGGACAGCCAGAGCTACACAGAGAAACTGTTTTGAAAAATCAAACAAATAAATAAAAACAAAAATCATAGCCAAGACACCTCAGGAGTTTAGGAAAGCCAGGTACTGGTTATTGATGGAAATGTATAGGTTAGTTACCAGCCTGACTAGACTCACAAGTCCGGTTTTCTGTCTTTAAGATCTGCTAATGCTGCAACCAGTAGAAAAGCAGCCTTGTTGAGTTTTGCCTCTAACCTTTTCAGCAAACCAACCCTCCTACACTGAGCTGAGGAAGTACTGTGGAGAATGCAGGGTGTGGTTTGTTCAGGACTCATCTCCAGTGTATCCCCAGGGCTCCAGCACATCCTCTGTGAGTGCTGTCTGTAGCTGGAAGCCTAGCCTTGGAGCTAGTGGTGGCTTCTCAGTGCTGGTTGACAGCAGCACTCCCTTTGGTGGCTCCAGGTGAAGGAGCTCTGGCTGTCCTTTCCACAGGACTGTGCCTTCCTATTTCCAAACAAGAGGCTTCTGTGGGGGCTACTTCCTTGCTGGGCTGAAGGGATATTTTCTAGAGATTTTCCAGCTACAGGGAATTTGGATTTTGCTTATGGTTTTTACCCTAAATGAGGTTGTTTACTAAATTTCATGTAAGAAAAGGTCTTACATGGGGCTGGAGCAATGGCTCTTCCAGAGGACCAGGATTCAATTCCCATCACCCACATGGCAGCTCAAAACTGTCTGTAACTTTGACACCCTCAAACAGACAGGCATGCAGGCAAAATGCCAATGCACATAAAATAAAAATAAATAAAAAGTAAAGAAAATCCAGGTTCAGGACTGCACCTCTCTAACTGAATGTACCTGCTGGTAAAGTTGATCTTCAACAAGTCATGCCTCATTTTCCGTGGTCAATTCAGATAGGAAGATGTTTGCCTACCCTAGAGGAAATACCGAGAGGCTCACGGGAGACTTGAGCTGGTGTGGTCACATACTACCTATAATTACAGTGCCCTGGAGGTTGAGCTAGTTTGGGCTACTTAATGAGACTCTGCCTCAAACACATGGACGAATGTGAGCAAAGCTCGAGTCGGGTGTAGTGGTGCACACCTTTAATCTCAGCTCTTGGGAACCAGAGGCAGGTGGAGCTCTGTGAGTTCAAGATCTACATAGTGAGTTCCAGGACAGCCAAAAGTACACAGAAAGAGACCCTGCCTCAGAAAAGGAATCTGATGTGGTAGTGGTGTACGCCTGTGCTCCCGGTACTTGGGAGGGAGGGAGGGAGAGAGGGAGGGAGAGAGGGGGGGGGGAGAGAATGTGTGTGTGTGTGTAAATTCTACAAGGTGCTCTTGATTCCTTTGAGTGAGAATTCTGCCAGGCTGGTGAAGGAAATACACCTTGCACTGGAGGGAAACCTGCCACCACTGGATCTAATTCATATATCTATAGTTTTTGTTTTTTCTAGACAGGGTTTCTCTGTGGTTTTGGAGCTGCCCTGGAACTAGCTCTTGTAGACCAGGCTGGCCTCGAACTCACAGAGATCCGCCTGTCTCTGCCTCCCCCGAGTGCTGGGATTAAAGGCGTGCGCCACCACCGCTTGGCTTAATTTCTATATTTTCTGTTTCTCATCACATTGCTCCACAGAACATACTGGGCTAATAACAGATTCTCAAACAATGCTGAGTTTCTGCTCATGCCAAGTTTCAAATGTCTGTTTTTGGTCCCCACGAGGATTTCTCTGTTTTTCTCAGCAGGATCTGGGGCCAGCTCACCTCTCACATCCCCATCATCTCCAACTCCACCCTCCACAGCAGGTCAGTACTGTATAAGGCGACAGGCCTTCTTCTCCATCCAAGCATTTCAGGACACAGACCCCACCTCTCTTCTCCAGAGAGCCGAACGCAAATGCAAAACGTGTATTCTTTGGAGGGGCTGACAGGCTGTTTTCAGGAGTCTCCTTGGGTCGGAGCTTGTCTTTGGGCAAAGCAAACACATTGTTGTCCTACACTTTGTCCTACCTACCTGCAGCTTCTCCTGCAGCCCCTTTCTGCTGTGGGCTGGTCACAGCAGAGCTCACAAGCTGCCTAGCACAGAGTGAAGCATCCCTACTAACAATTTCCGGATAACCGTTTGTTCTCTATTCTGCTCTGTAAAGCGTGTAATTATCTGATAATTATCATTAACCTTCGTTTCACCTTGTGAATTAAATCAGATACTGTGAGGGTTTTTGGTTTTGTTGTTGTTGGGGGAAAAATACTGACAAAGAATTTGTCTTTGGAATTACATACAAGAACAGTCCTGTGGAGTAGTCTCACAATACTCTTTCGCCTTTCCTTTTTGAACTAAGATCTTCTTTCTAACCATTTTGCAGTCCAGTAAAAACAAAGCGACAACACATTTCATTTTCCTCCTTGAATGAATGATCATTCATTCAAGAATATTTAGTCTAAGAAGCTGGTTTTTCCACTCAGAGTTCATTGCTGTCCTTGGAAGAGTTCTTCCAGCTGTTTGAAAGGGAAGTCTTTGGCAGGATTGGTATATGAGCTGACGGTACCATATTCTCTAATGCTTATGGTATTGGCTGCCTTTAAATGACTCTGACTAAAGCTCCTGGGAAAAAACATGAATGCAAGAAGGCTGGTTTGATTGACTCTCTCCTTGCTGGCTGAGAGTGTTTACTGGTCGCTTACTGTTATGTGTTCTAGGGCCAGGGCCAGTTTTATAGAGCAGAAATGCCAGATCATTGGGATGATTCTTTTATCTCTGACTTTCTCAGCAGATTTTGCAAAGAACTTCTTAATAGACAGAGTTGTCTTGTGACGATTAATTGTTTGAGCTGAGCAGAAGTTTCTGGAAATCTACTATTCAGACTGTTTTGAGCCATTTCCAGCTTAATATATGGTGTTAGTTTCCTCTCATTTTCATACACTAAGGAAACGAAGAGGGTTCTGAGGACTCTTAGCCCTGGATAACGGAGATGCCTGCCTAGTGTGCCGAGCACCCTGTGTGTGAGCTGTGCTTCTGGGTAGCTCGCTTTTGCCTTTGGATGCCTGATTTCATTCATAGTCTGACTCTCCTGGTTACCTGTGCCTAAGTGGGAGCGATTTCATATAATAGCAGCTTTACCTAAGATGAGCTAACTTTCAGAATGAGAGAAGAAAAATGGAATTTTTTCTAGCAGTCAGTCAATATGGGGAAAGATTCATCTAAGGACAGTGGGGATGACAGGGAGCAGTATTGTGAACTGGAGAGAACACATTTGAAGCCCAAGTACGACAGCTGTCAGGAGAGCCTTTATTCCCTTTAATGATTTTGTTGAAATTATTGACAGAATTATTTATCCCAAAGACCATGCTCTGACCTCTACTGGCTGTTCCTTGTAATGAATCTTATATCATTTGCCTAGCAACCTAGCATTTTAGGTGCATAAACCAGATATGCATAGTAGGTCTGCTTACCTCAAATGTTTTCAAAGTACACTTTCATGTAGCCTGGGTTACAAAGAGAAGCGGACAGGCTTCAGCCGATGTCCAGTGCCTCAGAAGCTCCAAACTGTTGGAACACAGTTCAAATAGACAGAAACTTCCTGCTAATGGTCTAAAACCTGGTAATGTTTTCTCCCAGTAGTTCCTTTGAAATAAAAGATCTTTCTCAACAGGCAGTGGTAGCACATACCTTTAATCCCAATACTGTGGGAGTTAGGGGCAGGTAGATCGCTGAGTTCAAGGCCAGCTTGGTTCACAGAATAAGTTATAGGACAGCCAGGGTGACACTATACAGAGCGATCTTGTCACAAATCCTCTCCTCCTCCACAAAAATCTGTATCAAAGGTTGGCTTATCAGCAAGCAGCATCTCGAGTTGAACCCTGCGCCTAGCACCAGGAGACTTTACTGTAGGTGAAGTGTTTGGGAGGTAGAGGCTGGCTCTGCTCTCAACTTTTCCTGGGTGAGGAGCATGATGTAGCATTGTGGGGCAGATAGGTCAAGACCTTCAGAAGAGGAGGGACCGCAGCAGGTCAGCGTTGGCAGGTTGAGTGGGACTTCTTCCGCCACAGCTTCAGTTTTAGGTGATCATGGTGACTAGAACAAGATGGACTTGTTTTAGCTCCTTAGGATTTGGCAGAAGTAACAGGCACTTCCAACTGAAGAGATATTACCAGATGAGCCCTGTCTAGCAGCTGGGATCCTCTCTGCAGGATTTGTTGGTACTTGTTGAGATCCACACTAAATTGTTGGGACTAATACTGTTTCCTCAAGTCTGGTGGCAGTTGTACTTGGTGGCTGGCATTCTCTCATACTCTTTCGTAAGGCCCTCATTTGTTTGTTTGTTTCAGTGAAAAATTTTCTAATTCTTTTCTATTGTTCCATGACTCATAAAGGCCTCTTTGGGAAGGATTAAAATTCTGTACATTTGTAGAGCTGAGTGTTTTAAAATGCCCTAGTTTGCACATATACAGATATTTGCTCTCACTGTATTTGGGGAACAGACTGCAGGCCTATTGTCTTGGTTTCCTTTTCATTTATGTGTGTGTGTGTGAGGAATCATGCACATGTGTTGTGAAAATTCTGGGGGTGATCAGCAAAATTTGTTGGATCCCTGGAATTACAGCAGTTGGAAGCCTTCTCATAGGAGTGCCAGAGATGGAACTCAAGTACTCTGGAAGAGCAGCTAGCATTCTTAACCTCTGAACTAACTCTCTAGGCCTTTTTGTAAGGTAATGGTTAAGGTGGGATCTCATGTAGCCAAGGATAGACTCAAACTCTTCATGTATTGGCTCTTTTTATAAAGTACATTTACAAGAGTATGTTAAGGATGCTAAATAAAGGGGAAACATAAAACTGTTGTTTTCAGTAATCACATCTAAGTGATTTGTATTCATTGTCCCCTTTAATCCTCAACTTTCTTCCTGTCCAATAAGAGTAGATTCCAGTTTATCTCTATTTCACAGAAAAACTGAGCTTCTAGTAGAGTTGAGAACTTGACCAAGGTCACAGATAATGGAAGCTTCAAGATCCAGGATTTGAACTTGATTCTGCCTCCATTCATTTACTCCACTCATTGAGAGCCTGCTTTTTTCTGGGAGTATCATGACCATGGAAGTTAAGCGCTGCTCTGCTGGAGTGCACAGAGCCGGCTCTACCAGTTGCCCTCTGTAACCGTGAACAAATGAGTTCCATTCTTAGGAACTGTCTTGTTTTATTTTACTTTAATTAATGTCTTTTATAAAACAAAATTACTTTTAATTAATTCTAATTAATTTGAACTTCTAAGTTAAAAATGGTGAAGGCATGATAAAGGAATTAAGCTTTTGGCATGGCAATCAACATATAAAACACCCTACAAGTAATTTTCAGAGAGAAAAACAGTCTTGACAAATGAAAAAGCCCTGAAAACCTTGAGTCAAACCACAGCTCAGACCCTGTCTTATGCAGGTTTCCTTTTTCCTCTTTCAAATAAAATCTCTCTGTAAACCATCATCACTTTTAACCTTCCCCAACTTTATCTTCTGACCCTTCATCTCCAGATTTCCGTAGTGGAGGCTCACAGATATCTTCTCTCTAGATGACTTTCTGGAGAGCCGACTTTTAGAAGGATCTGTGGGCCAAGGAGATGGCTGTGTTGGTAAAGGTGCTTACTGCCAAGTCTAACAACCAGAGCTCTGTCCATGGAACCCACATGGTAGGAAAGAACTGACTTCTGCAAGGCTTTCTAAGCAGTAAACAATCATAAGGTTAGGGTGGGGACTATGGAGACCTTAAGGAGATGAACTGGAACGTGGGCCTAGAGAATGATAGAGCGTACGGAAGAGAGAGCCAAGGAGAGTTAGGAATTAATAAGGGTAAGGATTTACACCATCTAGAGAATTTTGAACTTACTGAGAAAAATGAACTTACTTAAAATGTAGAATTTGCCTGGTCTAATCAAGTCTGAGGCCAGTGTATACCAAAATGTTTGTATTCAGCTTTAACAATTATCTCTTTTCAAAAGCTATACACAAGCCTGGCGGGTGTATGCTTGTAATATTGGGAAGCTGAGGCAGGAAGGTTCAGAATTTGAGGCCAGCTTGAGCTATATGTAGTGAGACAGTCTCAAAAAACCCTAGGGTTGGGGATGTAGTTCCACCCTGGGTTTGGTCTCTCAATCCAGTAAGCAAAGCTGCACACACACAGAGCAATGTGTTTTTCCCTGAGCAGGTTGCCTGTCGTGCAGGGCTGACCATGGGAGTGCCTTGGTTCTGCCTGCCCTCTGCTGCAGCTTTCTGCCCACTCTCCCATGCCCACCCGCCACCCCCAGTTCTAAGGGTGTGAGTTTCTCCTTGGATTTCTCCCCTGGTGAAGGAAAAAGGAGTGACTGCATGTTCCCAGCCTCCTTTGTTTCTTCCAGAGTTGGTCTTGTGGCCACAGGGATTGAGGGGCCCATCTCAGACTGATGTTCTTTCTTGCTGTTTGTCCTGAGGAAATCTGGGGCTCACTGTGTGGGGAAAGAAGCATTATCGTTTTCTTTTAACCTGAAACTTAGTGAGTTTGAAAGAACAAACAAAGCCATTTTTTGCTTTTGCCATTGGAAGTTTCACTAGACTAAAGTGGGCTGGGGATGGGGTCCCACGGTTCTTCCTGAGAAGTCGCCCACCCACAAACCCCCTTATACCTGTTCTGTTACTTTGTTCTTCTCAGCTTAAAAAGAGAGTCTATTTTAGACAGCGGAAGACTGTTTTGTAAAACAGTGAGCTTTCCTTTGTTGAATCTCTTGATAAACATCCCTGGTTGGTAATAGGTGCAGAACAGACCACTGGCCTTGCCTGCTCTTCCGAAGTGCCTATTATGCTTGTAAATAAATAAAAATAGCATCTCACTGGCTTAGAAAAGTGTGAAAAGGTGGCTTGTTCATTTGCCGTATCCTGAAAGGTTCATGTTTGAGCTTGTACAGCACACATTTTGTGGTTAAGTGTACCCTAGTTTTGTAGTGAGAATACTTAACATGCAATTCAGACTAACATTTTACTGTTACTGTTTGCTTAAATGACACTAAACTCTATATAATGATGTCTCTCTCTTTCTCTCTCCTCCCTCCCTTCCCTCCCCCTCTGCTGTCTTCAGTAGAGCATGCACCACTTTGAACGTGAGTTTTCGGTAAAGTAAGCTCCGCTGATTCTCCAGCTTTAGAGATGCTGTGTTTCTGTGTGTTTGTGTCACTGGTGGACACGGGAAGCCGAACAAAGAGCACTTCCTTCTTGGACTATCTCAGTGAAAACACAGCATCTTTAAAAGCCACCCCACCCCAGTCACTTCATCTGTATCCATTTCATTTCCATCGTGACCTTCTCAAATCTTCGTTTTCATTCCAATTTTAGTTTGGAAATGTGAGCTCTAATTGCATCTCAGTGGCATCTGAGTCCATTTTAATGTTGTAAACTGTTACTCTGAATATTGTGCTGCAGAATGTTGGTTCCTAGTTACTGGGAAAACATGGTATTAGGCAGTTAAGTTGTCACAACCTCCTGGTTTTTATAATTGATGACAGAAAAAAAAAGTTCTGACATACACTTGGGAATTCTTGAGATATGAGTCTCCTCATCTGCCTAAGGCCAAGGCAAAGATGGCCCAGAAAGCTGAGAACTACTGTGTCCCTGTGTCACTGCTGTCTTCTGGATCTGGTATGGTCTAGTGGCCAGTTGGCTGACCCATCCAGAGCTACAGAAACCTAGAGACTACTGGACTTGACCTAAAAATAGGTAACTCCAAATGTCCTTCCCAAAAGAGTGTTACAAATGTTCCTGGCACAGCAACCTTCCCAGGATCTAAAATATGTAATTTTTCTTTGTGTACCAGAATGGTACACAAAGCTGATTGCCACATTCCTACTGGGCCAGGTGGAGAGGCTTCTGGGAAAGTTAGATCAGCTAATTGAGATTTTTGTCTAAGAGAGCGTGAGATAGGAGAACTCAGGACTGTCCTGGTTGTCATTGTAGATGCACTTTTAGGAGCATGTCCCATCCTAGTTGTGACTTCATATAACCACCAGTCTAGCGTGGAGTTTGCTCTTTCCTCTTGTCCGCTTATGTTTATTCTCTGTCCCATCTTTCCTTTCTTGACATTGTTTCTAATGGTCCTGTCTTATACTCACTGACCTTTAAACGAAGCTAACAGACTCACCAGGAGGTGGTGCTACATGCCTTTTAATCCCAACACTCAGGAGGCAGAAGCAGGCAGATCTCTGTGAGTTTTGAGACCGCCCTGGTCTACAAGAGCTAGTTCCAGGACAGGCTCCAAAGCCACAGAAAAACCCTGTCTAGAAGAAACAAAAACAAAAACAAAAAAAAACAAAGACAGAGAGAGAGAGAGAGAGAGAGAGAGAGAGAGAGAGAGAAAGACTCCAAAACTCTGGTAGTACATGTGAGGTTCTGATGCCAGCATCAAGGGCTGGTTCTCTGAAGCCAAGCTGTTGTATGCCAAGGTCACCACCCATACTCGTGAATTCAAGCCTTCCTAAACCCTAGGCTGGAGGGCAGCCAGTCTTAGGCAAGCGGTGGGGTCCCCAGTGCTGCTGCAGTCCAAGCCTGTCTTCTGAGTCTTAACCCTGTAGTGATTCTTCAACCAGGGACCTGGACACAAAGCTCGGTGGGGGAAACCTACAGCTCCTGGTCTGGTCTAATACTTCTACTGCCCTTCTCTGGCCATTAGGATAATGCCTAATGGGTTTTGATAGCCATTCATCCCCACATGGGCAGAGCTTCTATCTCTGGCAGCCTTGGTACTGCATGCTGTCAAGTCAAGAGAGTCCTCCCTCACTCCAACATTTCATTGGCATATATTCAGATGCCCTAAGTGGATGCTTCTATGCTCATTCCACCTGGGCTTCTTACCTCAGTCGTCACTTCAAGGTTACTATTCATTATAATCTTTATGAGGTAAAGCCAGGAATGTCTTCCATAATCCATCCTACATAAAACCTAGTTGAATTTCATTCATTGTTGAGCAAAACCAATGTAAATTACATTTTATTCATTTGTCTGTATTTAATCTTTATTTGTATTGCTATGGGATCCTTGTTTGAGAATTCCATGATTGCAGAACATGAGACTGTGCATTTGTGTGAGCCTTTCATTTTGGTTGCCTTAGGTTGGGCTAAAGGTATAAAGGAGGTAAGTGGGTTTGTGAACTGCAAGACTTTGATCATTGCTTGCCACACTTGAGTATTTTATTGGTGACCTTGAGCCATTCATTCCTGATCCATATTTAGTGCACAGTGTACCTGTCTATTCACACTGCCCACAGCAGTGTGGTAACAACAGACAAGTAGGGTCTTAGAGAACCACAGTGTTCATAACTGCCATCCACTAAAGTCACCTGCAGCAGTAATGTCTCACTACTTTGGAAAGAACAGTTTACCTAGTGACTTAAAAAAGAACAAGAAAATGAAATCTAGTGACTGACTGCTTACCAACCTGAATTACAGTCTCTAGACTCACATGGTGCAGAGAGGACTGGCTGTGCCACCGCTTGTCCTCTGAGCTCCACGTGTGCACTGTGGCCTGCTTGTGTGGTACACATACACAGGAAATGAACGTTTAAAGAGTTCACCTGAAGGATGTGTTAGATACCCAGGTTCCCTTTCTTTGTCCAGATTCCATGACATGCATGGCCACGAGGACTCATTCTGTTCTGGGGTTGGGCTTCTCTATGAGAATGCCATTGCCAGGAAGAGACCCCTTTCTCAAATTCCTGTTGACAAGTAGTAGTATTTTACGTTTCTTTAATTCAGCCCAACAGGAAATCGTTCAAAGCAGATTCAACAGCTGGCATTGGCTCGCTCTTTAACAGGCCAACAGATGTCACTCCCACTTTTGTCATCAAGTCCTGTTTCTACTTGGAGCCAAATAACGGCACGAACTGTAAGGCTTCTTCCCACTTAGGCTCTGATCTTTACAACAGTACACACTTTTCAAGTGAAGCTGCAGCTGTGTGGTGCTGCAAGATCGCCATGATTCTTGGAGGCCCTGAGAAATAGCAAGCAGCAGCAACACACACTTATAAAACTGCAAGCCTGGGGAGGCTGTGACAGGAGGATCCCTGGGGCTTGCTGGCCTAGTCTAGCCAATTACAGCCTTCAAGTACTGTGTGCAGAAGCAGCTAGGGATTGTTCATCCCTTTGGCCCAACTCTGCATGCAGATATGTCTCACCCTGTGTACTCAGCAGGTATAGCTGACCTGCTGGGAACAGAGTCTGAGCCGCTCTAGGGATTGCTGTCACTGTATGGTTTCACAAAATCCCTGATACTCAATTCAATTCTCTTCTCACATTTGAAAGAAATAACCTTTAAACTCCCCCCCCCTTTTTTTTTACGTTCTTTCCTTTTTTTAGCGTTTGAAAATACCCTGAATACTGGGTTCTTGGCCCCTCTGAGAATATTTAGTCTCCCCAGATTCTACTTTGCCCTGGCCCAAGTAGAAGCAGCATCAGGGCAGGTGGAAAGGTGGAACACTGACCTTCTTTTTCCTCTGCAGGGCTGTCTTCTGCATTACCTCCACCTCCTCCGCCTCCTCCGCCTCCACCAGCAGCTCCCTCGACAACCTCGGGCACAGAGATGCCTGTCCCGCTCCTGCCCCAGGATGTGAATGGTGTGAATCGTGGAGCCTTGCTCAGCTCCATCCAGAATTTCCAAAAGGGAACTTTGAGGAAAGCCAAAACCTGTGATCACAGTGCTCCTAAAATTGGCTGATGTTTCCTGTTTACACTGGGAGGCCAAGCTCTTCTGTCCCACTCCCACCCAAGTCCCTCTTCCTAGTTGAGTCCTTGCACAGCCTCCCTCAAGTCCCTTTCTGGGGCGAGTCCGGCAGAGCCAGTACAGCCAGTCTTGCCGACATACTCCAAGAGGAAAACACTCTCCAAGTAGAACAAAGTGGGGCTAGCATTGCTGCCTTAACAGTTTGCTCCTGTGACTCTAATGGGCTTCCTTTAGGGGCAGCAGCATATGGGAATTATTTTCACCAGCTAAAGGAAAATGACAGAAAACAAAAGCAATGATGATATTCTGTCACAGCAGTGACTGGCCTGTTACTATCTCTGCCACTCTATCGAAAGTGTTCTCACAGTTCAGTCTTCTCAAACATTTTCTGGTCATTTCTTACGTAGTTCACCTCAGACGCTAACACTGTAACCAAGGCAGTTAGTTATACTGAGGCAGAGAAGCAAGAGCTCTCTCTTGATTCTTCCTTCTACAGGAGGGGGGAGTCTCACTGTGGCTGACAGCAGCCACTCTGGATTTACAGTTCTTTTCAGTTAGAATGTACCAAGACAGACGGGAAAACATTAACCACAGAAAAAGCTCTTGCCAGTTAAAGGATTGTCTTAATTCTCAGCATTTAAGTCAGGTTGGAGTAGAGGGAGAGTCATTACAAGTTAATCTGGCATCAATGGCAATCACTTCTGATTCGATGTATCCAATTTCAGCATCTTTTTTGATGTTACTCAGTTATTAGAAGTCTTTCGTTCTGTGATTTGCTTAAACCTTTAAATAAATTGCACTTTAAAGGATTATTAAAAATCCACGTTAAAATTCAAATACACACATCAGTGTTGGTTACTATGCAGAAAGAATGTCATTGTGTATAGTTTCATGTAATCTGTGATACATACTCAGCTGTATTTTTTATTAAAATAAATCATGTTAAGAAAATACGTTGTGGCTTTGCTAGGTATTTCAGATGAGAACTTCATACAGCACATTTTGTGAAGTGTGGTGTTACTCCTCTCCTCCTGTCCTGTCTCCTTATCTCCTTCATACCTGCTGATAACCCCTACTATTTAGAGACTATCTATACACTTCCATAACTTGTTTAGGGGCTGGAGAGATGGCTCAGTGGTTAAGAGCATTGCTTGCTCTTCCAAAGGTCCTGAGTTCAATTCCCAGCAACCACATGGTGGCTCACAACCATCTGTAAAGAGGTCTGGTGCCCTCTTCTGGCCTTCAGGCATACAGACATAACTTGTCTAAATCCTTCCATCAAGTTTTAACGAGGCTCATATATGACAGTATCTGTTTGAATACTGTGGAGGAGCACCTCACATGAATCTTTCATTTTAAAAGAAACTCTGTTAGGTCTGAAGAGTTGAGACACTGCACTGGGGATATAACTCAGTTGACAAAGCGCTTGTACAGCACTGAGGAAGCCCTGGATCATTACCAGCACTGTCTCAACTAAGTATGGTGGTGTGTGTCTGTGGCACTTAGGAGGTGGAGGTAGGTGGGTCAGAATCTTAAGGTCATCATCATCTACTAAAGGAACCTGAGCCAATGAGACCCTGCCTCAAAAGAAAAGGGCTGTGAGGCAGTAGACTATTTTGTTTTTTTTTTAATTATTTATTTATTTGTTTGTTTGTTTATTTATTATGTATTCTGTCTGTGTGTATGCCTGCAGGTCAGAAGAGGGCACCAGACCCCATTATAGATGGTTGTGAGCCACCATGTGGTTGCTGGGAATTGAACTCAGGACCTTTGGAAGAGGAGGCAATGCTCTTAACCACTGAGCCATCTCTCCAGCCCCCGGCAGTAGACTATTTTGATGATGGAAACCTGGATCGAGTGCTTCTGCTTTTAGTTTCTGCAATTTTGGATGAAGTTTTAGATACATGAATAAAAGCAAATAGCATCTGGGGCTGTAGCAGAGCACTTGGCTAACATGCATATGGCCCTGGGGCAGTAGAGAAATGACAAATTAGGGTCAGGTACGTGGAATATACCTTTAGTGCCAGCTCTTGGGAGGCAGAGGCTGGTGGATGTCTATGAGATCCTGGTCTACAGATAGTTCTGGACCAGCCAGGGATACAGTGAAATCTTCTTAAAAACTAAGGAAGCTGCATTTATACAGCATATCAGGTTATTTTTCATCTGACACTAATTTCTTAATAGTACCCCAAGACTTCCACATACGTTATTTCACTAATATACAATTACTTGCCACACCTTTAATCCCAGAACTTGGGAGGCAGAGGCAGGCAGATCTCTGTAAATTCGAGGCCAGCCTGGGCTACAAAGCGAGTACCTAGACATCCCGAACTGTTAAACAGAGAAACATGTCTTGGAGAAAAATAAATACAACTACTCATAGGTAGGAATCCCCTTTATTCCTTATCAAAACAATTTAACAGCAAATGTAGATAATATACTTTTAAAACATATAAGTTATCTTCTGGGGGTATATCTTTCATCAGGACTCTGCAACATTCTTGCCCCTTGTAGTGAAAGAGGGTAAATATTTATATTAATCTTATTCAAAGACTAGACTAACAGTAACAGACAAAGAAAGTATAGCGTCTAGGGCGGGGAGTGTTTTCCACCCATAAGCACATTTACACTTCTTACCAGTACAGACAACCCGCTGCTGCTTTAGCATTAACTTTATGATAGTAAAGTTTCTCAGTACACATCAGATGAAGTCCCAACAAGTATTTTAAATAAATGTCAATGACTTGATTTCAAAGTCCAAATTAGACATTCAGCGTCTTCTTTACTGCAAATATGATGTCTTTGACCTGAGGTATGGAGTTGTCTTCTAGGATCTTCGCATAAGGCATAGGGACATCAGCACCAGTGACACGAACAGCAGGAGCATCGAGGAAATTGAATGCAGGGCCTGGAGAAAAGAAGGCTCATCTGAGAGGCTGGTTTGGGACTCAGAGAAAAACAAGGTAATGAACCCTAGTTACAGGACACTGCTTCTGACTGGACCTTTTAAAACATTTTCCTGATAGACAAAAACCCTAGACTGACAAGCAGAAAAGTCATTCGGTCACACCTAGCTTTTGATCTATGTATACTGTTCACTACAGCTTGATTGTATCCTAGAACCAGTTTTCTTTAAATACCTTCCATGATTCTGGCACAAATCTCAGCTCCCACTCCAAATTGTGGCCAGCCTCCTTCCACAGTTACGAGGTGATTTGTCTTCATGACACTGGCTTCTATGGCTTCAATGTCCATTGGTCTGATAGTACGCAAATTTATCACCTACAAACAGTGCAGTAAATAGGCTTTATAGACTTCAAGAGATAAATACAGCCTTGACTCCAAAACAACACTTTTTGTTTTTGTTAATCTCTGGGTTAAGGAAAACTGAATACACCTATTAATAGGTACACAATAGAGACTAAAAGGAAAACCAGTATGTTGGTGTAAACCTGTAATCCCAACACTTAGGAGGCTGAGGCAGGATGACCACATGTTTGAGGATAGTGTGGACTACACAGCAAGACCTTGTCTTAAACAAAAAGTCAAAGAACTTATAATTAAAGCGGAAACCTGTATTCCCATTACAGGAAACTTTGCTCACCTACAGGGTTCACTCACCCTCCCTGGTTTCATCATCCCTCTTACAAAAGAAATAGTTGAGTGTTTAATGTGCAGCAGGCCCTACATCATGACACCCAATGGGGAATTTCTATCATCCCCATTTCACAGCTTATAAAACACAGCAAGTAATACTTTCCAAGGAGAACTACATAGGAGATTAGGTTCCATTACTTCTGAAGTCCAGCTCCAACGCTGGATCTTGTGCATGTGTGTGTGTGTGTGTGTGTGTGTTATATGTGCACTGCGAGGAGTCAGAGGATGACGTCAGGTTCCTTGCTCAATTGCTCTCCACCTCCTCATCTTTTTTTTTTTTTTTTTTCTTATTTTAGAAATGGCCTCTCACTGAATCTGGAGCTAACTGATTGGTTAGACTTGCTGGCCAGGCTAGCAAGCACTGTCTCCCGAGGGCTGGGATAACAAACTCATACTGCCACACCCGGCTTTTTTTGTTTCTACATGGTGCTGGGGATCCAAACTCAGGTCCTCATGCTGGCACAGAAAGCCCTTTACTGAATGAGCTGTCACCCCAGGCCAGCACGACTGGATTGTAACCTGAGAAAGGGACTTAAAAAGATCCAGAATCTTGTGTGTGTGTCCAACTCAACAGCCTTGAGTCCTAAAGGGAGTTTCTGATTTAAAGAAGGAGGGGAGCGAATGTCCACTTACCTCACATTCAATTCCCTCCTTAGACAATACAGCTGCAGCTTCTAGGCAGTGCCCCACTGGTCTTGAATGGGCAACTACAGTGATGTTGGTCCCTGAAATAAAGTGGTCACAGATTAGAGGTCAATGGAACCGATGTAGCACCGGTGATTCTGCTGCCGGCTGTGGCTCTTGTCTTATCAAGCCTTCACCTTATTTCAGTGACCTGAGCAATGAGATTGTATTTCTGGACATGAAATACAAACGTACCAGACAGAGATTCAGAAAAGCATAACCTGAGCTCATTCAACCTTTACTTTTTAAGTCAAACTACTTGGCAGTAACTTCTGGCCTATGCAAACACAAGGGCTACAGTGAAAATAGTCATTAATATATACTAAGGTGTTCTTACCTTGCCTTTCGATTTTGGCTTTTCCAATAGGAATCAGAAAATCTTTTGACTGAGCTTCTGCAGGAAGTTCAAATGCAACTCCATACATCAGTTCATTCTCTAGCATCACCACTGCAAGGCATTAAAGTTTTCAAACATCAACTACAGACAAAATGACTAAGAATGTATAGACAGTGAAATCATTCATCTGAATACTCAGAAGCCTAGAAGCTTCAGGATGGGTTACGTGCAGGCACCTAAGTTCGGTCAATATAAATCTTTTTTGTTTGTTTTGGTTTTGGAAAGAGGGTTTCTCTGTGTTACAGCCCTAGCTATCCTAGAACTAGCCCTGTAGACCAGGCTGGCCTTGAACTTACATCCACACCCTCCCCCACCCCACCCCCACACCCCAGGATTAAAGGTGTGTGCTATCCCCACCCAGCTTTGGTCAATATAATTCTACTTGCTGAGGTTAAGCCAATGGTGCAGATGTGCAGTAAGTAACCAGCACCTTACAGCAGAGAAAAAAAGCACGATTTTTACTACCTTTTCTCTCTACAAACCATTAGCACTCTACATATGTGGTGTCTACATCTCACTAGGTGCCCTTGATAGTTCCTCACATGCAAGAGTTCATGTCAGTTTCTAATGTTACCATGCTGACCTGGATTATCATCACGAATGGCCGATTTAATAAGTCCTTTTGCATCCTCGGAATTCCAGGGGCTGACCACTTTTAAACCTGGGCAGTGCCCATACCATGCAGCAAAGCACTGTGAATGCTGGGCAGCTACACCTGCTGAGGCACCATTGGGCCCCCTGAATACTATGGGCACAGGCTGAAGGCCAGCAGACATATAGTAAGTCTTAGCGGCTGAGTTTATAACCTGGTCAATGGCTTGCATTGAGAAGTTGAAGGTCATAAATTCACAGATGGGCCGCAACCCAGCCTGTCAAGTAGGAAAAAACATCAACATTAATTAGATTAAATACAACAAGGAAGAATACTAAATAACCACGCCACTCTTCCAACATTGCAAACAATATTTTCTTTCTTCTTCCTTTTTTTTTTTTGGTTTTGTTGTTGGTTTTTCCAAACAAGATTTCTGTGTTTAGCGTGGCTTTCCTGGAACTCACCCTGTAGACCAGGCTGGCCTTGAACTCAGAAATCTGCTTGCCTATTTCCCAAGTGCTGGGTTAGATTAAAGGTGAGTGCTACCATGCCCAGGTCAATTATTTCAGAAGATAATATTAAAGGATATCTCTTAGATTTCATAACTAATAGTACATACCA